TAGAGATCAAATTATCTTGGTAGTTTTATATACAAATAAAGGAAAATGCTATTTGTTAGGACACTGGTGTTTATCGTGTTCCTTGATTTAAAAAATAACTATTTGTGTTCATTAGGCTCTAAAAAAGGCTTTAAGAAAGAAAAGGAGACTCACATTTTAGAAAGATTGTAAGGTGACCAAATTATTAATATAAGAGGGATTTTGCTTAGTTTCTAGTTAACCTAAAAAGTCATTACCCAGAACATCCTGTTCCTAAGAAATCTAACTGACTGTTTTCATGGTTCATCAACCTTGTAAGTAATGGTACAATTATGAATAGGTTTCCTGTCAAAAGGAGCTGTTTTGCCTCCAGTAGAAATCAATGGGCCCAAGGTTACAGGTGATTTCATTCATAAGGTCTTCTGGAAAAAAATAAAACTATAGTGATTGAGAACAGGGCAGTGGTTGGCATGAGCTAGGAGTGACTACAAAGGAACAGCAGAAGAGAGTTTTTTTAGGGTGATGGAACTATTCTGTATCCTCATTGTGGTGGTAGTTACAGGAATCCTTATACATGCCAAAATTCATCAACTGTACATAAAGATAAGCAGTTTTACTCTACGTTAATTAAAAAAAAAAAAAAATAGGTCAGGTGTGGTGGTCACACCTGTAATCCTAGCACTTTGGGAGGCCGAAAGGGGAGGATCACTTGAGGCCAGCTGGAGAGCTGCCTAAGCAACATAGCAAGACCCATCTCTACAAAAAAATGTAAAAATTAGATTAGCCGGGCGTGGTCACACGTGTCTCTAGCCCTAGCTACACGTGAGGCTTGAGGCAGGAGGATCACTTGAGCCCAGGAGTTCTAGATTCCAGTGAGCTGTCATTGTGCCACTGCACTCCAGCCTGAGTGACAGAATTAGACCCTATCTCTAAAAAATAATAAAATGCATTAATTGGCCCAATTCAAGGTTGTTAGGTTCGTCTGTGTGGATGTTCCCTGGTCCCCTGGTTCCCAGGGTCAAGAATGAGTACTTGTACCGAGTCCAGCCAACGATGGAGGGATCACAGATACAGAGCAATTTTAGACAGTTTATCACATAAAAGAAAGAATGAAAGTACAGAAAGAAGCTACACGAAGCGAAGTATGTTCCAGAGAGAGCGGGACAGGTCAGCCCCCAGGAGTGGAGAAAGACGCTGGAGGCTGAGCAGCATTGCCTTTTATAAACGCACTAGTTTGTCCCGCCGTTCCACTGGCAGGATTGGTTGCTGTTTCCCGCCTTTGGGGGTGATTGACAGGTTGGTGGTCTATAACAGATCACAAGACAGGTTACATAACAGTGTAGGTTATATAACAGTGTCTCTTTTGGGGCGTGTGTGTCTTTTTTTGGAATTCTCCATGAGGCTCTGCCCATGTTATGCTAATTAGATGGTAATGAGCTCTGTCAGTTAAAGGTTACTAGGAACTTTATCCTATGTACGTTCCCACCAGGGAACGGTTCCTAGCCGCAGTTTGGTTCCTAGCTACAGTTTGGTTCTCACTCTCCGCCCCTAGCAACCTCCTTGCCACCGGTTTGCCCTCCACCAGACCTAACAAGGTGACCTGGCCTACACAAAAGCAACCCAAAGGACGGGAGTTTGTGGAAAGAGTAAAGAAGAATCATAAATTATGAGGACGGTAGGCAGGAAGGGAGAATTTAAAAAAAAAAAAAAAAGGAATGCTGAAGAAACTATTGTTCTGAGTGCTTTTTCATTCCTTTTTTTTTTTTTTTTTCAGAGTTGTTTCCTAAAGATCAGTTTTACCTACTTTTAGGGAGGCTTCCTACTTCTCCTCCCAAGTGTAAAACTATTCTGATTAGTCAGTAATTTCCCTTGTTTCTCCTATTCAACACTCAACAACTCAGTTAATATTTAGGTTGAACTTTACTTTCCAGATTGCCTTATACTCCAAAAATATTCAGAACAGAAAATAAAGCCCTCTCTAACAGTTTCAACATCTGAATTCAGACAGGACCAGGGGAGGCATTTTCCATATTTTATACATCAGTTTCCCCCTAACTTTTTTTTTTTTTTTTTTTTTTGAGACAAGGTCTTGTTCTGTTGCCCAGACTAGAGTTCAGTGATGTCATTATTGCTCACTACAACCTGAAACTCCTAGGCTCAAGTGATCCTCCTGCCTCAGCCTCCCGAGTAGCTTGAGTAGCCCAGCTAATTTTATATTTTTTCAATAGAGGTGGGGGTCTTGCTGTGTTGCTCATGCTGGTCTCAAACTCCTGGCCTTAAGCAATCCTCCCACCAAGGCCTCCCAAAGGGCTAGGCTACAGGCATGAGCCACCATGCCCAGCTGGTTCCCCCCTCTTGATTGGAGCTTCTAGAGATGTAATGCAAGACAAATCTATAATTTTTTAATTTTCTAGTAGTTACTTTTGAAAAGTAAATAATGCAGGTGAAATTTATTTTAATACTGTATTTTATTTGCTCAATATATCAAAATGTTATTTCAATGTACAATTAATATAAAAATTATTTTTTATTAGGCCAACTTGAACCAATGTGAACCAAAATAAAGTCTTAAGCCCCTCAACCAACTAAATGGACCCCCTCTTGGCCACGGGGACTCCATAAAAACCTTACAGCTGAGTTGCCAGCCATGAGGAGAAGGGAGATCAGACATACCTATAAGACAAAAGTTAAATCCCACTTGCAGGTCAATTTACTAACAGATGACTTGAGCCTTAGTATATATCCAGTGACTTCTCTCTGATTAACAGACTTCCTTATCTTAAAACATCCCAAGCCTTTAGACAAAGCTTTATTTCTTTAACCAATTGCAAATCAAAGAATCTTTAAACCTACCTATAACCTGTAAGCCCCTGCTTCAAAATATCCTGCCTTTTCCGGCCAGACTAATGTACACCTTCCACGTATTGATTTATGACTTCGCGTGTAATTCCTGTCTCCCTAAAATGTGTAAAACCAAACTGTAACCCAACCACGGTGGGATCACTTGCTTGAGGCTTCTTGGGGTAGCTTTCTGGACCATAGTTGCACATAGTTGGCTCAGAATAAACCTCTTTAAATTATTTTGCAGAGTTTGGGTTCTTTTCCATTAACAGGCTGTCATATAAGACAGTACAGGCTATTCACTTTTGAAGCACTGTGCAAACAGCCTCTCACTCTCTGGACTTTGACTGCTATTGAATATTTGAGCCCTTGCCTACAATCTTCATTCATTCATTGGTGAACAAGATGTTGTTTGCCCTATAGCTCAGTCTGCGGGGGCGAGAGACACATAAAGAAACAATTATGAAATAACATGAAAGAATGGTGACACAGATGCACAGGATTTTATGAGCACCTGAAGGGGGAAGAATATGCCATAAATGTAGCTCTAGCTTCAGGGGTGTGTTATGTTAGCTTTGTGAAGGGGATGGGAAAAGGCATTCCAGAGGTGCCAGCTTGAACAAAAGCACTGACATGAGGGATGGTGAAGCCCGGAGAATTGCCTAAGAGTGCATGTCATGGGAAAGATGTGTAAGAAGAAAATGAAAATCTCAGGGCCACTCCCCAAACTCCTTATGCAAAAGGAAGATAAAGTCCTTAGGTACCTGTGAAGAACTGGCCCCAGAGATCATTCATTAAGGAAATTCCATGGTGATCTCCCATAAGCAAAGACATGTAAATTGTAATTTTAGGTTCCCAGGCTACATCTAGCTCCTAAAACTAAAGTTTGTTTGATTCCACACTAATAATGAATTCCAAGTTTATCTTTACAGGTGCAGAACAGGAGACAGACAGGATCAGACATTCTTCCTCCTTCCCAGGGACAGGGACATCTACATAACTGATGCTTCCTTCACTCCCTTTCTCACTTCTAACAGTTGCCTAATCTTATGTAAAATGTAGATTTCCTGGGCCTTACAAGAATCTAGCCATTTTGCCTCACTGCTGGTCCCCACAAATCCCCCTTCAGAAAACAACCACAGGTCTGTTTGCGGTTCATGTTTTCCTCAGGCACCTCCTCAACTTGGGGTTGATAAACCTCCACTGATTGAGATTTTTTGCCTTAGCCACTTATTTGGGAGACAGATGAAGAAAAGAGAGGCAGCCGGGTAGGTGAGCAAGGCGAGACAGAGAAGGGCCTGGTACCTCATGTTTGACTTCTAAAACAAAACATCTTGAAGCTTCCTAACATTTCAGAAGAAATGCAAATGACACTGGATTTAAGCTTTCGCTGGGAACGCTGGCTGCTCCTCGAGACTGGTTGCTCCGTGTTGACGGAGCCCTGTTTTGCTCACCGCCCCAACCAGGCCTGCAACACTGCCTGGCACAGAACGGCCTTGTGTGGTCTACACCGGCTGGAATTCCTTCCTTCATTCTTTCTCCTTCAAGCATCCCCGTCTGCCTCAGCCCACAAGAAAAGGGGGAAGGGTGCCAGCTGCAGCCTTCTGTGCCTCAAAAGTCCTTTGGAGTTCACCGACAGGTCTTCGTCTTTCCGAGCCGCTTCCTCCCGTATAAAACGAGGCTCACAACTACCCACCGCCCAGGACTGCAGTGTGGCTCAAATGAATTTACAGAAAGTGCCCCCTCAAAACGAAAAGGTGCCTCCCGAGGCCTCGCGCGCACGGAGTGACATGACCCGCCCAAGTCAAAGCAATGTTTCCACCTTTCCTGGCCCGGGAAGCTCCTGCCCTGCTGCAGGGTGACTGACTCAGGGCCTGGGCACCTCCCACTCCTCGGGAGATAACCCGACGCGTGACCGTTTAACGAGCGTCCCGAGGAGACGCCACACAAGGCGGAGAGGAAGGGGAGGCCCTGCGCCCCGCGGCCCGCGCCCCGGCATTCCCGCGCCGCGCCGCAGAGCGCCGCTGACCCCGCCGGCGCCCCTGCCCCCGTCAGCCCCTCCTCCCGCGGCGGGGCAGAAGAGGGTGGAGCGGCCTGACTCCCACAGCCAATGAAAGCAGCGGATTCCTGGTCCGATCCCCTGCGCGGCTCGCCATTGGTCGCCGCCCGGGTCTCGGCCCACCGAACCTTGGCGACCCGAGCCAATCGCGAGGCGGCGGGCGATCCCCAGGCTGCTTAGGCGGCGGGCGGCGGGCGCAGAGCGGGCCGGGCGCGGAGCGGGCGGCGGTGACAGGCGGCGAGAGCCCGCAGCCCTCCCCGCGCGGCGCGCCGCGGCACCATGGAGCCCGCCGTGTCGCTGGCCGTGTGCGCGCTGCTCTTCCTGCTCTGGGTGCGCCTGAAGGGGCTGGAGTTCGTGCTCATCCACCAGCGCTGGGTGTTCGTGTGCCTCTTCCTCCTGCCGCTCTCGCTCATCTTCGACATCTACTACTACGTGCGCGCCTGGGTGGTGTTCAAGCTCAGCAGCGCGCCGCGCCTGCACGAGCAGCGCGTGCGGGACATCCAGAAGCAGGTGAGGGCGCCGGGCGCGCCGGGAGACGCGGCGGGCGCGTGGATAGCGGTACGACGGGCGGCTAAGGGATGTGCGGTGCAGCGGAGGGCCAGGACTTCCCCGAAGAGCTGGCATTGGAGGGAGATTGGAACGAAACAAAAATGTGATGCGGAAGGTTCCGGGGAAGGAACAGGATAAGCAAAGGCGGTGGGGGGCAAAACATTGCTCCGATGTTTATGGAGTGCCCACTATGCGCAGGGCAGGTGCGGGCACCTGCGGGGCTGTAAGGACTCCTAAGACAGGGGAACGTGTGCAATACTCAAGTAACTCTCACCAGACCCAAGCGTTTTGGAGGAGGAAAGGCTTCCGGGAGGTGGAGCTGAGTCTAAAGATTAGGAATTAGGGTAAATGATTGAGGGAAGGTGTGTTAGGTGAGAGCGAAGGGTGGGAAGGGGAAAGTGCGGGGCGGAAGGGGGAGAAGGTTGGAAAGTCTGTTTGGAGCTAGGTTGGAGAGGGGCCTTGGTGCCAGGTTCGAGTTTGGAGTTTATTTTGTAGCAGCAAGGTGCTTTCGCTGCATTTAGAATAGAGGACTAAAGCGAGAAAGTAGAACCCCAAGGGAAGACCCTCACAGCCGCTGGTGATGGAGGGTTCACTCCTGGACAAAGGTAGCCGGTCCATCTCCCAGGACCTCTGACATCCTCCCTGTGCCAGCACCCACAGAGCCCAGGACCCTGCTGCAGCTCACAGAGGAGCGTCCTCCACATGCAGGGCTGACATGGGCGTGGGGCTGGGCAGTTTCTTGGCTCCCTCTGCCCTCCTCATGTTCCTCTCTTACTGGCATCAGGTTGCAGAGAGCTTCTGTTTCCTGCGGCCACCCTCCAGTAGGTGTAGCAGCCTCCATATTCTGTTTGCTCTGTGCCGGGTGCTGTAGGCAAGAGCAGGAAGATGGATGCAGAGAGCCGTTCTTGTGAGAGAGAAGCCCTTGGGCCCGGTGGGAGAATGCAGACTGGAAGCATGTTGCCCTGCTGCCCTGGGTTTTGCTGGCCACAGCCACACGGCTCCAGAGCCCTGCCTACCCTCCCTGCCCAAATGCACTCTCTTTCTTAGCTCTTTCCACAAGTTCAGATTCTCCACTTACCTGCATGTCTTCTCCATCAGACTGTGAGCTCCTGGAAGGCAGGGACTGTTATCTGACTCACCTTTGGCCCTGGGGCCCTGCTCAAAGCAGCCTCATGAGTGCTTGTTCACCTAAACTAAACTGAAGGGCTCTCTGTGGGCAGGCAGACAAGGGGCCCAGCTCACTGGCCCACTGCCGTGTGACCTGCCCTGTGCCACACCCCTGTGCCATTGATGTCCATTGTTTCTGATCCTCACAGTAACCCTGGTAAGTCTTGCACCTCTTACAAATGGGAAAAAATTCAAAATGAGTTATGTGCCCAGAATGATGGAGCTGGTAAATGTGGCTAAAGCCCAGGATATCTTTATCTCAGAGCCCAAACTCCAACACTTCTTCCTCATGCTTCTCCTCACCCCCAATCCTGTAGGTCTGGTTCTACAACGCCTGGCTTGTTGTAATAGCTGTCTGACCAGTTGCCTCTTTTCTGGGCCCACCTCACCTCTCTTTGGCCTGCACATAGTCTTCGAGTGCCTGCCCCAAATCTGATTGCACCCATCAGGATCCAGTCCCATCAGTGCTTCAGGCTTATGGCTTCCACATTCGCTTCATGTGGCCCACCGTCCTGCTTAAATACAGCATCCCTAATCCACTCCCTCCCACCTCTGCGTTTGTATCAAGTTCTGGGGCTACAGAGTAGGGCAGGGGTGAGGCCTGGGTGGTCAGGTAATCCCACCTCTCATCCCTTCACTCCCAGTTTGCAGGAATCTCTTCCTCAATACCTGCCTTCTCCCAGCTCCTTGGCCTCTGTTCATAGGAAAGTCCTTCCCCGTGTTGAGCTGCTTGTCTGGCCAGTTCCAATGCAGCCTCCTCCAGGAGGCCTGACCAGTATTTGGTGGTACTTTTGGTTGCAAGTTAAAGAAGCTAAATTCAAACATGCTTGAGCAAAAGGGACTTTATTGATCCAGATTCTGAAAAGTCCAGTAGTAAAACTGGCCCAGGCATGGCTATATCAGGACCCCTTCTCCCCCATCTCCATCTTTCCATCCATCTGCCATCTCTTGGCTGTGTTCTCCTCTGGTTGACTTCATTCTTGGGAGATTGTCTCCCTGTGGAGGCCCCAACAGTTTCCGGCTTATATCCAACCAGCTTGGAAACCCCATCCTGGAACTGATGTCATTGGCTTGAGTTGGGTCATAGGCCCGTCCCTGAGCCTGTGGCCAGGAGGATAGAATCAGACCTCAGTTGTGCACCCACCTTCTGGGGCAGGGAAGTAGTATTAGCCTCACTGGACCAAAGTTGGCGTTGTTAGAAGCAGAAGAAGAGGAAATGGATGCTCATAAGTCAGAACAACAGATACCTACCTCCCCTGCTCTTATCCATCTCTACAGGAAAGGAGCACTTCCTCCTGTGTTCCTGATGAGCTTGCCATCCCCTGGGCCATTTATTCTCTGTGTTTTGTGTTCTGGTCACTTATATTAGAGGTTTTGCAAAAGCCGTTCCTTCCATTGGCTTGATGGTCCTTTCCTGCCCGTTCTCTCCTCCAAGTGATACACGAATTAACACATGTGAATGCTTAGAACAGGGCTTGGCACATAATAAGCCTCAATAAGTGTCAGCTCTTCTTCTGTGGAGTGTTACTACAAGCTCATCTATCCTTCTAGGCCTGAAGTTATGCAGTCCTGGCTGTGAATCTGGGCTCTGCTGTTCACCAGTTGTGTGACGTTGGCCCAGTTATTTTGCTTCTGAGTTTTCTCATCTGCAAAAGGGTGTCATCTTAACTCCCTGGGATTGTTTTGAGAATTAAACAGGACAGTGTGCAATAGGTGCCTAGCAGGGTGGGGACACCCAGTAAATGGCACATTCTTATAATTGCCATTATTACCATTACAAAACCTTTTCTGAACTTCTCAGTTAGAATTAATGTTTTCAAAACACTTTGATCCTGTATTCTATGTCTTTCTTCATTCTGCCTTGTGGTATAGCAACATGTTGGCATTTCTGCTAACCTTGCTAGCCAGGGAGGTGCCAGAGGGTGGGACCAGCAGGACTTTCCATCATTCCATTCCTCCCAGTGCCTGAATGGAGGCATCCTTCCCAGCTCCCTCTCCCTGGAAGCAGAACTGCAAGCTACTCTGGGGATCCCGGTGGGGCCAGCTCAGCCTCTGTCCCTTGCTTGCAGGTACGAGAATGGAAGGAACAGGGCAGCAAGACCTTCATGTGCACGGGGCGCCCTGGCTGGCTCACCGTCTCACTGCGTGTTGGGAAGTACAAGAAGACACACAAAAACATCATGATCAACCTGATGGACATTCTGGAGGTGGACACCAAGAAACAGGTAAGAGCGTCACTATTCCCTGGATCACTGGGAGCACAGGTTCTGGAGCACTGCCCCTGGTGCAGGTGACTCAGGGAGATGATTTTAGCCAAGGGCATCCCAGAGTGAACAGGACCAAGGCCTGTGGTTATCACGTAAGGCTCTGTCCACCATTACTGTCCTCCAAAGCCTCACGGCCACCAGGGAGAGAGATGGGTCATAGCCCCATCTCACAAGAGGGCAGACTGAGAGCTCAGGGGGACCCTTTGATTATCTGCAGTTCCACAGGAAGTCAGGGATGGGGAGATCATGGGCAAAAATGAGAGACAAAAAGGGAACCCAATTACCCTTCGCTGGTAAGGAGACTTGCTGTTGAAAAATGGTCTACAAAGGTGGCTGGCAGGTGTGGACCTTGTTACAAGCTTCTTGAAGATCCACTTGTTTAATAGCCTTAGGAATGTGCATAGTCTTTGGCCCATCTAGTAATTCTACTTCTTAAAACCTGGCGTAAGGAAAAAGGCAATAGGCTTCGATGTAATTAAAGATAGCCAACACAGAGAGAGATTGTATCACAGCTTTATCTCTAATGAACAACACGTACCCAATAATAGGGGAGTCATTAAATATGGTGTATCTGCTTTCTGTCACCGTGAATTAGTTTGGACCCAGAGTTCTATATAACCAGAATCCTACAGTACTCTTTTTGTCTAGCTCCTTTCACTCAGCATAATTATTTTGAGATTCATCTGTGTTGAAGCATGTGTCAGTAATACATTCTGTTACACTGCTGAGAAGTGTTCCATTGTGTGGATATATCGCAGTTTATCCCTTCACCTGCTGATGGACATTTTGGCTGTCTCCAATTTGGGGTCCATTACAAATAAAGCGGAACATTTGTGAACAGTGTGTGTGTGGACATATGCTTTCCTCTCTCTCGGGCAAGTACTTAGGAGTGGAATGACTAGATCATATGGTAGGTGTACAGTTAACTTTTATTTAAAAGACTGTCAAATTGTTTTTCAAAATGGTTGTACCATTTTACCCACCAGTAGTATGAGTGGTTTAGTTGTTCCATATCATCATAAACTTGGCATGGTTAGTCTTCTTAGTTCTAGCCATTCTAGTAGGTGTGTAATAGTTTCTCATTGTGGTTTTGATTTGCATTTCCCTAATGATTAATGATATTGGGCTCATTTCATGTCCATACTTGCCATTTATATATCTGGAAACAAGTCATTCATCAGATAAATAATTTACAAATATTTTCTCCCAGTCTGTGGCTTGTCTTTTGAAAACCAAAAGTTCTTAATAAGTTCAATTTGTTAATTTCTTTTACGTATTGTGTTTTGGGTATCTTATTTAAGAAATCTTTTCCCGATCCAGTGTCACAAAGGTTTTCTTCTGTTTTCTTCAAGTTGTTCCACAGCTCAGCTCACTGAGGCACTGTTGACTTTTCACATTCTTTTTTCTCTCTCTGTTTCATTTTGGATAGTTTCTGTTGCTGTGTATTTAAGTTTGCTAATCTTTTCTTCCACAATTTCTAATTTGCCATTAGTCTCATCCAGTGTGTCTTTCATTTTAGACTGTGGTTTTCATTTCCAGAAGTTTGATTTGAGTCTTTTTAATATGTTTTTAATGTCTCTATTTAAATTTGTGAATATTTAGAATACAGTTATAACAACTGTTTGATGTTCCTGTTGGCCAATTCTAATATCTGCATCAATGCTGGTCTGTTTTGCTTGATTGATTTTTCTCCTCATTATGGGTCAAATTTTCCTGCCTCTGCATACCTGGTGAACTTTGATTGGATTCTGACTTGTAACATTCTGGCATTTTACCTTGTTGGGTGCTGGGTATTTTTGTATTCCTGTATTTTTGAGTTTTGTTCTAGGAGGCAGCTAAGTTATTTGGAATGATTTGATCTGTTGGGTCTTGATTCTTTTAGGTGAGACCAGGACAGCATTTAATCTCAGGTTAATTATTTCCTACTGTTGAGGCAAGAGCATCCTGAGTACTAGAAAAATCCTGAGCTTTCCAATCTGGCTTATGGCCACTGACACCATCTCTTGTCCTGTGTGAGCCCCTGGTGCTATTACCTGTTACCTTTTCTGGTGGTTCTTTCCCTGACTTCAGCCTCAGATAATAGCCTCATGTGTATGTACCAACCAGTACCTGATTGAATACTCAAGGGACAACCTTTGCATTTTGCTGAAGTTTTCTCTCTGTGCAACTTTCTCCTCTCCAGTACTCTGTCCTTCAGACTCTACTCACCTTGGTCTTCTGGGGCTTTCTTCTCTATCTCAACTCAGGGAGCCCATGGGCTGCACCTGGGCTCCCCTCCCTGCTAACCGCCTAACTGTAGGCGGTTAGCTAGGCATTTGCAGAGCTCACCTTATTTGTTTCCTGCCTCTCAGAGATCACTTTAACTGCTTCTGTCCACTGTGGTGAAAACTCTTGTTTCATATATTTTATCTGAGTTTTTTTGTGTGTTTTTTTCCATTTCAGGCAGCAGGATAAATCTGGTCCCTGTTGTTATATCTCAGCTAGAAGTAGAAGTCCATGGGATGGCATATTAATGTGTGCATTAAAAATCATGTTTTCCAAAAATATTTAATGATAAGGGGCGATGGTCATAGTATAGTGTTAAATTTTAAAAAGACAAGACACAAAATCATGTGTGTGTTTGAGTGTGTTGTATTAAAGCATAATAGCAATATAGAGGTGTATGAAAAAAACAAAGTAAATACAGTCCAGTATTAATGTTGGTAACTCTGAAAAATTAGGATGGATGGTTTTTGTTTTCTTCTTCATTTTTGCTGTATCTTCCAAGTAAATGAGTATTTCTTCTATAATCCAGAAAAAAATAAACTAAGCATTAAATATAAAGATATTTGAAGGGATAAGGTTAAACACTAGCTAACTCGGAGCTAGAAATTGCATTCACTGTAATTAAAGGCAGGGTAGTGTTCTAGAAAGAGCCTATAAAGGCTATATAGGAATCCCTGCACTGAGTGTTTGGGAAGATTTGAGATGACACCTTCTGTGTGCAGCAGTCCCCTCCTAGGCCTGGCAGCCTTCTTATGACCCAGGGTCTCTTTTCTTTTGTCAACAGATTGTCCGTGTGGAGCCCTTGGTGTCCATGGGTCAGGTGACCGCCCTGCTGACCTCCATTGGCTGGACTCTGCCTGTGCTGCCCGAGCTCGATGACCTCACAGTGGGTGAGGACTCCATGTTAATGGTCAGGAGTCAGGTGGTCCTAGGATCAGAGCCCTGGGCCTTGGTAACCTTGCATCTGGCCTGGGAATCACCCCTATTCCATCTGTGACAGAAATTGCCCTGTCTCTTATTTGCCTGCTCCAATGGCAGGGTGCCCACTGCCCACTGCTCCATTTCTGAGCAGCTCAAGTTATCAGACAGCACTTTTTAATCTGTGACTTGAATCTGCTCCCCTGTGTCTATTGCTCCAATTCTACCCTTGGGAACATATAGAATAAGTCTAGTCTCTCTTTTCTGCCATAGGATTCGTGGCCCCCAAAGCCTTTTCTTTTCCAGGGGTAACACCTTCAGAACACGACTTTCTGCCACCCCATCAACATGCCATTTCATTAAAGTCTTTCTTTTTTCTTTCCTTTTTTTTTTTTTAAAGACAGAGTCTCACTCTGTTGCCCAGGCTAGAGTGCCCTGGCATCAGCCTAGCTCACAGCAACTTCAAACTCCTGGGCTCAAGCGATCCTCCTGCCTCAGCCTCCCGAGTAGCTGGGACTACAGGCATGCGCCACCATGCCCGGCTAATTTTTTTTCTATATATATATTTAGTTGGTCAATTAATTTCTTTCTATTTATAGTAGAGATGGGGTCTCGCTCTCGCTCAGGCTGGTTTCAAACTCTTACCTTGAGTGATCTACCCGCCTCGGCCTCCCAGAGTGCCAGGATTACAGATGTGAGCCACTGCACCTGGCCTATTAAAGTCTTTCTTAAAATAAATGCATGCAGGTTTCTAGGTTGAGGTGGCCAGAGGTGAGGGCGTGAGCAGCCTTGCCGGGGTCTGCCCATCCATTCCCTGCCTCTGAAGATGCCCTCCCCACCTACCCCCTCCTCTCTCCTGCCCTCTAGATCCACAGAGGCGGGAAATCTACCCTCAGTCAACAGCCCCATTTCTGCCAACCTGTCATACCTCCCTTGTACTAAGAGGTCCCCCAGCTTCAATCCACCCCCACCCTGTACCCCACGGTGCTCCCTGGCTAACATGTGTGTCTCTGCAGGGGGATTGATCATGGGCACAGGCATAGAGTCATCATCGCACAAGTATGGCCTGTTCCAACACATCTGCACCGCCTACGAGCTGGTCCTGGCCGATGGCAGCTTTGTGCGATGCACGCCGGTGAGTTGAGAGGTGGGGGACATCCATGCCAGCCTGCTCTGGGCATTGAGGGTCCTGGGGTCAGGGAGGTGGCTCCCCTGAGGTGCTTCATTTCAAATACGCCTATCCAGTCTGGATCTGTGTCTGTAATAATTTCAAAAATTTATGTAGCCCCTTATGTGTATTTAGGCAGTTGTAAATGTTTTATATACACTAAGGCATTTGATCCTTCCATAACATTATGAGGTAGGTACTATTATATCCTCATTTTATAGATAGGAAACTACAGCACAGAGAAGTTAATACCTTGCCCTAGGTCACACAGCTAGAAAGTCCCACATAGGTTGGACTCTAGTAATCAGGCTCCCAGATCCTTGCCCTTGGCCATTCGTTACACCATACTGCCTCTCTGGAGGAAATCAGGCCTCAGCATCAAAGCTCTATATCAGATTTTGTAAGGTACAGTCAGGTGTCACTTGATGATGAGGATACCTTCTGAGAAATACATCCATAGGCAGTGTCATCGCTGTGCGAACACCGGAGTGTGCTTACACAAACCTCGGTGGTACAGCCTATTGCTCCTGGGCTACACACCTGTGCAGCATGTTATTGTACTGCATATTGTAGGAATTGTAACGCATTGGTAAGTATTTGTGTATCTAAACACACAAAAGGTATAGTAAAAATAGGGTATAAAAGGTTTTAAAAATAGGGCCTGAGCATGGTGGCTCACACCTGTAATCCCAACACTTTGGGAGGCAGAGGTGGGAGGATCGCTTGAGGCCAGCAGTTTGAGATCAGTCTGAGCAACATAGTAAGATTCTGTCTCTACAAAAGAAAATAAGATAAAAAATGGTTTGTGCCTTTTAGGGCACTTACAGTATGGAATGGAGCCTGTAGGACTGGAGTTGCTCTGAGTGAGTCAGTGAGTGAGTGTCAAGTGAATGTGAAGGCCTAGGACATTATTATACACTACTGTATACTTGATAAACACTAGACACTTAGGCTACTCTAAACTCACAAAAACTATTTTTCTTTCTTTAATAATAAATTAGCCTTAGCTTACTGTAACTTTTTTACTTTATAAACTTTTTATTTATTTAACTCTTTTGTAAGAACACTTAGCTTCAAACACAAATGCATTGTATGCCTGTACAAAAAATATTTTTCCTTTATATCTTTATTCTGAAAGCTTTTCTCTATTAAAAAAGATTGCTTTTTTTTTTTTTTCTAAAATTTTTTTGTTAAAAACTAAGACAAAAACACACACATGAGCCCAGGCCCACACAGGGTCAGGATCATCAATATCACTGTCTTCCACCTCCACATCTTGTCCCACTGGAAGGTCTTCGGGGTAGTAATATGCATGGAGCTGTCATCTCCTATGATAACAATTCCCTTTTCTGCAATATCTCTCAAGGGCCTGCCTGAGGCTGTTTTACAGTTAACTTTTTTTTTTTTAATAAGTAGGAGTACACTCTAAAATAATGATTAAAAGTACAGCATAGTAAAGACAAGAACCAGCAACATAGTCCTTTATTGTCAATATCAAGTATTATGTATTGTATATAATTGTATGTGCAACACTTTTATATGACTAGCAGTGCAGCAGGTTTGTTTGCAGCAGCGTCACCACACACACGAGTAATTCATTGTGCTGTGACCCCACGATGGCTATGACATCACAAGGCAACGGGAGTCTTTCAGCTCCACTATAACCTTATGGAGCCACCGTCATATATGCGGTTCATCACTGACTAAAACGGCATTATGTGGTTGTCAACCCAACTAACTAACAGAGAGGGGCTCTAAAAGAACAGATACTTATTTGGAGAGAGAGCGTTGTAATGGGAATTCCCGTACTGTGGTAAACTATATGCATATTCTAGGAAGTGAAAGAAGACAAAGGTTTTTAAAGGAAAAATTAAGAGGATTACATACTTGTTTTGAGAGGATTATCCATGGCTACAAAGATCAATAACAAGGACGATGCCTCTCCAAGCCTGGACAGATGTCCTTGCAGAAGTATTTTTTATGTGAGATTGCGATGGCCTCTGCGCAGGGCGTGGTTTTGTCGTCGCGCGTGTGAGTGCAGGGAGCGTGCTGTCTTCATGGCCCTCCCGGCTCTGTCTATCAGGGTTTCCTTAACGTTACTGCGTCCATTTGAGTCTGACAACTTCACACAGTGCATGGCTATATAACTAAAAGTGATTGATTAATGGGGCGGTTTTGGAAAAATAAAAGACAGTTCTACCACCCAAGCTGGGCCACACACATTTAAGGCATTTCGTCTAAGGAGTGGAGCAGTATTGAAACTTTGAGCAACCTCAGATCTGTCCTGGCATGTGTCCCTCCCTGGGGTGGGAGAGACAGTTCGGTCCTTTTGAAGTGGATATTTCAGAGACCCACCACAGTGGCTGCTGCAAACAAACTACTGCACTGCTAGTCTTAGAAAAGTGTTGCACATACAATTATGTACAGTACATAATACTTGGTAATAAAGGACTGTGTTACTGGTTTATGTATTTACTGTCCTGTACTTTTAATCATTATTTTAGAGTGTGCTCTTTCTACTTATTAAAGTAAGAAAGTTAACTGGCCTCACAGAATAAAGTCCAGGGAGGGACTCCCAGCTTGGGAACTCTGGTCCTGAACGAGAGAGATATCCGTGTCAGGAGTGACTCTGAGTCAGGGTAGCCAGGGAACATTAAGATGCCTCCTTTCTGGGCCATCACTAAAATGTACAAAGCCTCTCCCAGTCCATCAGCTGTGGGACCCACCCCCTACAAAGCCCAGGGAGAACATTAACAGCCCCTTATGACAGGTGAGGAAAGAGAGTTTCCAAGAGGCAACACGACTCGCCCAAGGCTTCCCAGAAAGCCAGCTCAGCCACGCTGGGGTTCACACAAGATCATCTAACCCCTGATCCAGCGTGTCCTGACACGGATCTCTCTCGTTCAGGACCAGAGTTCAACTCAGCACGTTTCCCTGAACATGTGCCTAAGCCCTGTCTTCTAAGGAGACAGACGTTTGTGCATTAGCTTCCTTCCCTGCGGCCCAAGTTCCCGACCTGACAAATGTCAGGAGGAGTAAGTAGGTGTGCCAGGCTGCATGGGAACCTCCTCGAATAGAGCTGGGCACAGAGCGGGTGCCTCGTAATTACTGCCATGATCAGAACAGTGTGATTAGCTGGCAGCCCAGAAGGGGGGTTGGTGGGTTCAGTTCTGCTGTTCCAGAGGCTCTGCCAGCCTGCTGCAGGGCTTCCCTACTCCGCTCCCCTGCCCTGCTGCACCCACCATGCCCACCAGCAAGCGCATGCAGGCTTAGCAGAGACTGCACAGGGCTGTCGTCTTGGTAAAGGCAAGACAAGGCTGGACATTTTCAATAAGAGCTTTAGGGATTAGAACCAAAGCTTTATTAGAATTAGAATTAGAATGGCCAAAGGAAAAGTCAAGTTGTCTGCCTCTGAGACAGATGTCAAAACAAGAAAATGATGAAGTCAGATACAGGTTTCTGGAGCCAGAAGAGGTGTTGTAGGAAGAACGCTGGTTCCAGGGGTTAGATGATCTTGTGTGAACCCCAGTGTGGCTGAGCTGGCTTTCTGGGAAGCCTTGGGTGAGTCGTGTTGCCTCTTGGAAACTCTCTTTCCTCACCTGTCATAAGGGGCTGTTAATGTTCTCCCGGGGCTTTGTAGGGGGTGGGTCCCACAAGCCGATGGACTGGGAAAGGCTTTGTACATTTTAGTGATGGCCCAGAAAGGAGGCATCTTAATGTTCCCTGGCTACCCTGACTCAGAGTAAGGGTTCAGCTCTTTTTCAGCCTGGCCTTGGAGCCCTGCTCCTCAGTCCCCCACTGTGGGCCTTTGGGCAGTGCTGTTCAGGGCTTCCTCCTGGGTGGCCTCTCTGGGTCAGGGCTGTGCCCGGGTGGAAGTGGGAGGAAGCTCTCCCGGTGAGCACCTCTGAGACAGAGGGCAATGCCAGGTAAATGTCATGTGGAAGCTGCAGAGAGGAAACTAAAGCCCAGAAAGTACAGTTTGTAAAGTCCACTGGTTTGGTTTACACAAGACAGTGAGAGGTCAGGGATTTAGCCAGGCCCTGGTTCTTTGCTGCCACAACATGGGGTCCAGGGCTCCAGCTCTCAACGAGTGTCAATTCCGTCCCTCAGACCGAAAACTCAGACCTGTTCTACGCCGTGCCCTGGTCCTGTGGGACCCTGGGCTTCCTGGTGGCCGCTGAGATCCGCATCATCCCTGCCAAGAAGTATGTCAAGCTGCGGTTCGAGCCGGTGCGGGGCCTGGAGGCCATCTGTGAGAAATTCACCTGGGAGTCCCAGCGGCCGGAGAACCACTTCATTGAAGGGCTGCTCTACTCCCTGGACGAGGCCGTCATCATGACGGGCGTCATGACGGACGAGGCCGAGCCCAGCAAGGTAGGCGGGAAGAGGAAGGGCTGGCGGGCGTGGGGCGGGGACTGAACCCATTCTCCCGCCCTGGCCCTGGTGGCCCGCTATTCGAGGCTGCTCCTGGGCCAGCCCACCTGGGGTACAGGCACCAGGATCTCCCATCAGAGACCTGGACAGCGATGAAAGCGCCCGTTTACTCTGCCCCTGCCACCTGCCGGGGAGGTGCTGGTCTTTCGACAGGAGTAATCCTTGGTGCTCACGGCCGCCCCGTTTCACAGACGAGGAACCGAGGCGGCTCCCAGAGCTAATGTAAACCTCCACGAGGTGATGAGGCCAGGCTCTGAGTAACTGACCGATGCTTCAGCATCCAGATCGACACTCCTTCCCCTTACACCCTGTAATTGTTAATAGCAGTTTTTCCCCCTTTAGAAAGGATTTGTGCTTATTATAAGAGACTTGGAAGGTGTAAGCAAGTAAAAGGAAAGAAAAGCCTCCAGCTGTAACATGGCCCCACGCCAGCTGTTGCGGATGTGTTTGGTACGCAGTCGGCCCCCACATCTGCGGGATTCAGCCAAGCACAGAGTGAAAATATTCAGTGGGGGGAAATGGATGACTGTGTCTCCGCTGAACGTGGACAGACTTTTTTCCTCACAAGTATTTCCCCAACAATACGGTACAATAACCATCACAGAGCCTGTACATTGTATTGGGTATCGTAAGTCATCTAGAGACGACTCAAAGTGTACGGGAGGGTGTGCGTAGCTTACATGCAAACACTGTGCCAGTTTACATAAGGGACTGAGCCTCCTCGGATTTGGGGAGGTCAGGGAACCAATCCCCCATGGATACTGGGGGAAGACTATTTATTTCCTTTCTTGTTCTGTGCATACATTTTTGGGTTTTTAAATTGCAAAAGTAGCATAACAAGGTTGAAATACATAAAAGGTTAAAGCGCATTTCTTTACACCCAGGGTAACCACTTGTAACAGATTAGTGTGCATCCTTTCAGACCCATTTCTGTGTGTGCACCATCGTTTCATTCCATCATAGCCCACTGTTGCATGTAAATAATTGGCCTGACTCATCACTTACTGATGAACATTCATGTTGCTCTACTTGTTTTGCTCTAACAAAATGAGATTGCATTGAAGGTTGAAGATTCTCTTCCATCCATCTCTTTTGTACAAACATTTGTGTAGGATCGAGTAAAAAATACAATTTCTGACCCAGGGCCCTGAGCACATTAACTATTGATGGACACAACCAAACAGCCCTCCAGGGGAGCTGTGCATGCGCCTGCTCGCAGGGGCGGAGCACGAGAACGCCTTTTCCCCTACGTTCTTGCCAACACTGGATAGTATCGCTCTTTCATTTTTGCCAATCTGATAGGGTTAAAAATAGTATCTTGTTTTATTTTGCAGTTCTTGGATCACTTTTGAGGTTGAGCGTCTCTTTGCAGAGTTTTCTGGTTAGTTTGTCTTTAGGTGTAATCGGCTGTTCAAATGCATCTTTTCTTGTTTAGTGTGATAGGCATTTCTCCACATTGTTACGTTGCCTCTACAACCATCATCGTTCATGTCCATCTACAGAATGTTTATTGCATTGAGCGAATGCCCTCTCAACTGCTCCTTAGTTGGAAATTTAAGTTGCTTCTAATTTTTTCATTATTTTAATTAACAGAGCACTGAATATCTTTTGTCTGTGACTTGAATAGTATCTTAGAGTAGAATTAGTAGATCATAGGATAGGCATCTCTTAAGGCTCTTACCTACACCTATGTACTTAAAACATTTTAAAATTGGGAAGGGCTAGAAAATCATCTGGTACATCCCCCTCTCCATATAAGGAAAAGGGGCCCAGGGAGGGAAAGAGATTCCTGAGGACACACATAGCCAGGAGAGAAGCAGATTTAAATTCCAGCCTCTCACTCCTGGTTCAGCATCAGGTCCCCTACTTATCAGCCCCTGGAATTTAGCATCATCCACAAACATTGCTTCCTGTGGGACACTGTTGAGTGCTAGGGGACGGGGTCCTGAGCAGTGGGGGCAGCAGCACTGGACACTGAGCCCAAGTGCACTGGCCCTTCCCAGGCCCTGGCTCTGCTTGACTCAAGCCAAAACCTAGTCACTGCGTGTCATCTAGTACCTGGTCTCCTAGCTGGGACGTCTAGATCAGAGGTCTGCTCCAAGGTGTTCCCTTAGAGGCTGTCAGCAGTAGTAAGGCCAAGGGCGGGTCCCAGGGGAGTCACCACTCCCACTGTACCCAAAGCCGCTCTGCTATCATCTGTTTGATGTATTTGATGCCACCTAAGGTTATGATTGAGCAGACGGTTTGTACAGATTTTAAAATGTTTGAACACAGGGCTTGATTCCCTTATTTCTAAGGAGAAAACTGAGGCCCAGAGGGCCTTACCCAGAGACTCTCCTGACACCAGTGGCAGAGGGGCTGGGCTCCAAGGCCATGGATATTTGCCGGGTGCCCCAGGGAGCAAGACCCTGATAGCCAGCAGAAACAGGGAGGGACAGGAAGGCGGTAGATGCTGTGAGACATGTGGACATTTTATTTTAGGAGCATTTCTTGTAAATGTTCCTGTTTGGAACGTTTCTCAGCACTTTGTCCACATGTGTCCACCCTGTGAGGGGCCCTCTGCAGGCACTGGCCGCAGGCTCACTGCGACCAAGGGGGGAGGCAGCCTGCCCCCATTATGCAGGGCAGGCCCAGAGACAGGAAGTGGCGCTATCAAGGTGTGAGGGCTGGGCTGGAGCTCATTCGGCTACCTGGCCGCCTTAGCTGGCGGTGCCCAGGAGAGACGCACATCAGGATTTTTTGTCATATCCTGGGCATTTCTGGCATGCATGGCTCCTGATGCAGGTACTGCCAAGTTTCACCTTCATTATGCAGCTGGTGTGCTCCAGGTGTGTGCCAGGCCTCACCTGGGGTTAGATCAGGTTGCTCTATTTCCTGTTGGGTTTCACCTTCCCTCCCATTAGCAGGCAGAGGCCAGTGTGGGTGTCTTTTGTCCCACCCCTTACTGTCACACCGAAACTGATTTGGGTGACCAGGCTCTTTAGCTCCAGTTTCCTGGCGCACCATGGCAGAGAAGACGAGCAGCAGTGTGGTCTCGCACGAGAGGGGCTGCAGACAGGCTGCAGGCGCTAGAGGCCAGGGATGGAGAGCAGGGGTCCCTGGCTCCAGGGTGGGGCAGGCTGGCAAAGGGATAGGGTTGGGGGTGGGCCAGCAAGAGGCGGGGCTGTGCCCACTGTGGGGTGGGTGCCGTGCTGGGCACCTTCTATGCTATCTCCTTTAGTCTTCCCTGCACTCCAGCGGGTTAGCAATGTCTCCATTTTTCCTGTACAGAAAATGAGGCTCAGAGATTCTAAGTAACCAACCTGCCCAAGATCAGCCAAGTGTGTTGTAAGTGGAAAAAGCAAATTGGCAAACTATATACAGGATGGTCCCATTTTTATAAAAACTGTGTTCATGTGTATGTAATTTCTAATAGGCACAAAAAACTCCTACAAAGTATATATTTTTATTGTCATTTTGCATGTGAAGACACAGGCTCAGAGAGTGACCTGCCTAAGGTCACAGAGCTAGTGGGGACTGGACCAAGGTTTGGCCCCAGCCGCCCAATCCTGGAGCCTGTACTGTTTCCAGGATGTCCCCATCCCCATCCCCACCTCTCCCCAAAACATCTGCCCAGATTCGTTTTGTGAATGAGGAAGCTGAGGCCTGGAGAAGCTAAGTCATCCGAGGCACACGGCACATCGAGTCCCGACCATTTAGGACTAGAGAAGACACCGGCTGGATATGAGAATTGGGCATTGGAGACCAGGGGGTCCAGTGCCAGGGAGGTGTGTGGGTTCATTCTTGTGAGCTCCCTCCAGCTGACGGGTCTGCCAGGGGCAGTGCTGTGCCAGAGGGGTGTGGAGCTCGGCCCAGGGACAAGAGGGAAAGCACTGTGGCCAAGCAGCACTGTGGGCCTGGGTGGCAGTGGGGGGTGACCCACCCTCAGTGTTTGTGCCAACACTGGCTGGTGGAGGGCGGGAGGAAGGAGGGGAGGGAATTCCCCTGCATGGAGCACGGCATTGTGGCAGACACTTAATCTTTGTGCTTTTGTCTGTCATCAAGAAGGAGCACTGGGCTAGGATGGGCGTGCTGTGTGGCCCTGGCACACCACTTAACCTCTTTGAGCGCCTGTGTTGTCTGCTAGAAAATACCCACTGGCCTGACCTTGCCCAGCTCTCCAGAGGCACAAAGGCGGCAACAGACACAAAAGGGCTTTGAAAAGGCCAGGAGAGCTGGGCAGAAGCCGGGTATCGCCGTTACGCCTAATGGCACCGGGTGCTCGTCTGCGGGCTGAGGACAATGGCCTCTGTCATTTCAGCTGAATAGCATTGGCAATTACTACAAGCCGTGGTTCTTCAAGCACGTGGAGAATTACCTGAAGACAAACCGCGAGGGCCTGGAGTACATCCCCCTGAGACACTACTACCACCGCCACACGCGCAGCATCTTCTGGGAGCTCCAGGTGAGCTTGGGTTTCCCGCAGTCCTGGCTGCTCCCGGCCAGCCAGGCAGGGCCAGGGCGCTGAACACTGCAGCCACGCTCTGTCTCTCCCTTAAGGGAAAAGGGTGGCTTTGTCCTGCGGGAACTGGACGCCTTCTTCAGCAGCAGCGCAGTCGTGTCCTTACCAAGCGCTTGCTTAGTGCTGGGGCGTGAGCCACTGGGCGGGTACTTGTTCTGTCCTTGAGGAACGGTAGTCCCGCTGAGCTGACAGATCCCTGCACCAGAAAGGGCGTGGGAACCAGAGGAGGAAGTGGCTAGTTCTGCCTGGGGTTCAAGGCAGCAGTCAAGCTTGGCCTTGAAAGGTGAGCAAGAACTTGCTATTGTCTGTCTCCACGGGTAGATGAGTGGGAAGCAGTGACATTTCAAAGGGGCGGTGGGGAGAGGGCCAAGAAAGACCCCTTAGGAGGTGACTTGTAAGCAGGGACCAGAACACAGGGAGGACAAGCCACACAGAACTCCAGGGAGCATGCCCAGGCAGAGGGACGGCCAGAGCCCATGGCTTGAAATGGGCTAACATAAAATTGACCATGATATGATGTACAGTTTGGAGGAATCTAGTACATTCATAATGTTGAATAGCTACCTCTATCTAGTTCCAAAAAATTTTCATCCTCCTAAAAGCCATTCCCCCTGCCGCACCTGTGGCACCCACCAGTTTGCTTTCTGTTTCTGCAAATTTACCTGTTCTGGATATTTCTTTTTTTTTTTTTTTTTTTGAGACAGAGTCTCACTTTGTTGCCCAGGCTAGAGTGAGTGCCGTGGCATCAGCCTAGCTCACAGCAACCTCAAACTCCTGGGCTCGAGCAATCCTACTGCCTCAGCCTCCCAAGTAGCTGGGACTACAAACATGCGCCACCATGCCCGGCTAATTTTTTCTATATATATTAGTTGGCCAATTGATTTGTTTCTATTTTATAGTAGAGACGGGTCTCACTCTTGCTCAGGCTGGTTTCGAACTACTGACCTTGAGCAATCCTCCCACCTCAGCCTCCCAGAGTGCTAGGATTACAGGCATGAGCTACCGCGCCCGGCCTGGATATTTCATATAAATGGAATCATGTAGTATGTGCCTTTTGTGACTGGCTTCTTTCACATAGCATAATACTTTCATGCATCAATATTGCATTTCTTTTTATGGCTGAATAGCACTCTGTTGTATGCGTAGACTGCATTTTGTTTTTCCACTCATCTGTTGTCGGACGTGTGGGTTGTTTTGACCTTTTGGCTACTGTGAATGGTCCTGCTATGAACGTTTACATGCAAGTATTTGTTTGAATGCTTGTTTTCAGTTCTTTGGGATATACACCTAAGAGTGGAGTTGCTGGGTCATATACTGACTCTATGTTTAACTTACTGAGGAACCACCAAACTGGTTTCCACCAAGGCCAGGCCATTTTATTTTCCCACCAGCAGTCTATGAGTCTTCCACTTTTTCTATATCCTCACCGACACTTGTTATTTTCTGGTTTTTAAAGTATTATTATAGCTACCCTAGTGGCTGTGAAGTGGTATCTCGTTGTGATTTGGATTTGCATTTTCCTAATGACTAATGATGTCGAGCATCTTGTTGCTTGCTTGTTAGCCAATTGTATATCTTCTATTAGGAAGTGTCTATTCAAGTCTTTTGCCCCCTTTTTAAATTGGGTTGTTTTTGTTCTTGAGAAGTAAGAGTTCTTTATGTATTCTGGATACTAGATCCTTATCAGATACATGATTTGCAAATGTTTTCTTCTATTCTGTATGTTTCTTTTCACTGTCTTGGTAATGTCCTTTGATGCACGAAGGTTTTTAATTTAGATGAAGTCCAGTTTTTCTGTTTTCACTTTTGTTATTTGTGCTTTTAGTGTCAAATCTAAGAATCTGTTGCCAAATCCAGGGTCACGAAGATTTACCCCTGTGTTTTCTTCTAAGAATATTATGGTCCTAGCTCTTATATTTAGGTTGTTGATCCGTTTTGAGTTGGTTTTTATGTACGCTGTGAGGTAAGAGTCAAACTCCATTCTTTTGCATAGAGCGTCCGGTCGCCCAGCAGGGCCGCGGGTGTTGGGAAACAGCAGGAAGCTGCTGGCCAGAGCCGTAGCGGGAATGAGGGCAGATGGCCGCCAGAGGCCAGATCTCCTGCCTGCTTGTAGGTCAGGAAGGACTTTGCATTTTCTTCTGAGTGGGGCAGGAAGCCGGTGAGGGCTTTGAGCAGCAAGTGATAGGGCCTAACGTTTGTTTTGAAACAATAACTTTGACAGCTAGATGGAGGGGGGGGGGTGGGCAAGAGTGGAAGAGAGGAGGAAGATTTCTGTCATCCGAGGCAGCAACCGTGAAGAAGGGGCGAAGCGTCAGATCCGAGAGATGCTGTGAAGGATGAACCAACCAGCAGACGTTTCCAGACAGATTGGCCGTGGGTGTGATCTGGGGCTCATGCCTGGGAACTGGGTGAGCAGAGGCACCCTTGGCAGCCGTGGGAGACGGGGGGGAGGGGCCGGGAACGGGGAATCCGAAGTTTGGTCTGGGACGTGTCAGCTCGCTGCCTTCCAGACATCCAGGTGGCAGACGGCCGGCAGATGTGTCAGGACTTCAGGGGTACAAGAGAGGCTGGGGCTGCACACACCAACGTGGGCAGCAGCGGCAGAGAAATGTCACTTAAAGCCATGGAGGGAGATGCGTGAGGGTGGACAGAGAGGACAGCCCTGGGACACCTGCAGGTTAGGGGAAGAGGAGCTGGCTAAAGAGAGGAGAAGATGCCACCAGTCGGTGTGGGGGAACAAGCCGGGAGAAAGCGGCGTCCCAGCAGCCGCGGGAAGACTGTTCCAAGAAGGAAGATGAACAACTGCATCCAGTGCTGCGGAGGGAGATGAGGACAGGGATCGGCCTTGGGTCCCAGCCGTGGGAAGGTCATTGTTGGCTTTGATCAGCTGGTAACCCCTGACCATGGAGCAGGCGAGAGAACAGGAGACAAGGAAGTGAGACCGTGAGAACAAGCCTGAGAGCCTCTCTAGAGGGAAGCAGAGGGCGAGGGCGCTCGCTGGAGGGGGCGTAGGACCAAGAGGGGATGTTTTGTTTGTGTGATTGTTTTCAGATGGGAGAGATGACAGCATGTTCATGTGACATGAGAATGACCCAGTGGAGAGGGAGTATTTAGGGAGTGGAGTCCTGAGCAGGGGAGAGGTGCAGAGCTTGCCTTTTGATGGGGCGTGGAAGGTCTGTCCGTCGGGCAGGAGGGACGCCGTGTACATGGGTACGGTTGCTGCAAATGGGAGGCGGGGAGTTCTCTTCTGATTTCTCAGTGCAATAGGAAACAGAAGTGAGGATTTCAGCTGAAGTGAGGTGGGAGGGGGATGTTGACGGTTTGCAGAAAGAAGAGATGTAAAATTGTCCCCCTTGGAGAGTGGGAAATGGACGAACTGGGGAAATACATAGCACTGCCAGGCAGCGCCGGGCCTGCCTAGGGTTCGTGATGGTGAGTTTATAGCGAGACCACCCTGTGGTGGTGGGTTGTCACACACGCAGCTGGGGGAGGGCTGCAGAGCAGGTAGAGGGTGACGTCTGACCACAGTTGTGCTGGGCAGTGGGGTGAGTGGGCAGGCCGAGGAACCGAGGGCCTGGTTCTGATGCAACCTAAGCCAGCCACGGAGGGGAGGCAGGCGGTGAAGGCTCCCAGGAGTTGACAAGAGGCTGGCGGGGGGGACTGCGCACCCCAGGGGAGGAAGCACTGAAGTCAGGGTGAGGGGGCATGGTGTTAAAGAGAGGGCACAGGGCAAACGCCCACCATTAAAAGTACAGAGACAAGGAATGTGTACAAAAGGGCAAGTCATACAGCCCGTCACAGACTCACCTCTGCCACATGAAACAGCCTCAGACTATAAGACAATATATAAGGGAACAGGAGTGACCAGCTCCAGTCAGACCTTATCTACAAAAACAAGCAGCGGGCCATATTTGGGCACCAGGCTGGCCTCAGCTCGCACACTGGCTCCCCGCCAGCAGGGAGTGCCAGCCACTGCTCTAAGGGATGACTTGGGAGCGGTGGCCGAGGCCACGTGAAAGATTAGGTCACAGGGAAACAGAGGAGTTTCAGGAGCCAGGAGGCCAGGCACGGGAGGACCATCTCTGTGGTGGGCACGAGGTCACAAATGTTAAACTCGAAGGATGTCTAGGCTCGAGAGAGGGAGTCATGGGTGTGTGTGGTGGGGGTGGGGGTGGGGGTTCCAGCCATCCAGGACCCAAGCAGGGGAACTGGGGTTGTGTTTTGTTGCAGGGAGGTCTTGGGCATGTGCTTCAAAGTTGCTGAGGTTGGTTTTTAGCCCTGGGGTAGAACAGATGGAGGCAGTGACTCGGGGCCAGGGGGACCCTACCCCCCATCTGTCGCAGTGGCAGGAGGGTTGCTGGGGAGAACATGATGCGCTGGAGCAGGCTGCAGGGGACAGCCAGGTTCCCGCTGAGAACAAGCAGAGGCTCAGCACGTCCGGGGAAGAGTGAGGACAGAGGGGGGCTTTGCTGGGGTCAGGCGCTGAGAGCACAGGGAGCCCTGGGAGATCGGGGGCATGGCGGATGGGGTCAGCACGAAGGGCTGCATTGCTGCAGCAGGCTATGAGCGCAGGTAACGGGGCACCTGGACTCCATGGTGACTGAGAGACCGGACATGAGGCATGGGGCAACCACAGCTCATGGCCTCTCGGGCGGAGGTGCCTGGCCAGCTGTGCCGTTGGGATGGGGCTCAGGCAGAATGTGATGGGTGGTGCTCAGGGTTGCAGGAATAGGGCGTGGAGGTCTCATTGCAGCCGGGCACTCTGGGCTTCCCCCATCCCCGATAGTCCTACTTTGGGCAACGTCAAGGCCCAGAGCAGGTGGCATTGGCAGTTTTGGCAAAGGCAGAAGACATTAGGAGTCCCTCTCCATCCCTGCCAAGAGCAGTGCCAGGTGTGGGGGTGGTTTTGCCAAGAGCAAGGATACTTAAGAGAGAAAAAGAAAGAGGAGCCAGCAAGGGACCCTGAGAAGGAGCATCAGAGAGACAACAGCCGACACTAACACCAGACACTCCCTCGGGGTGGGTGTTGTGCTGGACACTTCACACGCCTTATCTTAATGTTCCCAGCAGCGCTGTGAGGCGGGAACTAGTGCTATTTCCATTTCTGCTTAGGTTAAACAAAGTAAGTCACAGCTCAGTAAGAGAGAGTGTATCTCTATCGTTAAAGGTTAAAACAGCTAGCATTTGTCACCTCCCAGTATTTAAGAGTCATGGACCTGGGAGTGACCAATCAGGGCGGTCCTGGCTCAGGGTCTCTCCCAATGTGGGCTGGGCGGTGGCCGGTGTGGGCTGGGGCGGTGGCCGGTGTGGGCTGGGGCAGTGGCCGGTGTGGGCTGGGCGGTGGCCAGTGTGGGCTGGGGCAGTGGCCGGTGTGGGCTGGGCGGTGGCCGGTGTGGGCTGGGCGGTGGCCGTCTGGAGGCTGCAGGCCCCGCCTCCATTCCTTGCCACGTGGGTTCCTCGAGTGTCCCCACAACAAAGCCCTGGCTCCCCCAGAGCGAGTGAGACGCCAAGAAGAAGTCTGTAGGGCCTTTTGTGACCCAGTCCCGAGTCGCACCGGTCACTTGCAGCATATTCTCTGTCTGAGTCGCCAAGTGCAGCCCACACTCAGGGAAGGGGCAGTGAGGACCAGCAAAGACTCTAGGGATGTGTTTTAAAACCACCACGCAGAGCCAGGATTCAAAATGAGACGTCTTGTACTTTTGTGCTGTTAAATAAATCCTGGCCTACACCACCTTTAGTTAAAGGAAGAGTCTGGAAGGATGGGGGTTTTAAGCCTGTATTTGTGTGTAGAAGTGGATTCCCAAGTGAGGAAGTAGGGAAGCAAGACGGGGAAAGGGAGAAGTCACAAGAAAACCCTGGAAGCCCTCGAGGGCTGTGTCACCTCGAGGCCAGGGGCAGCCGCCCCAGCAGCCATCGCCGTGCAACTGGCCTTGGACGAGGCAGCTCCCTATGCCAAGGGCAGTCCTCCTGCGTGCCAGCCTCCGACACCCCCCACCGCCGGGGAACAGGCGCCTCTCTGGAGGGAGCGTCTGGGCAGAGAGCAGCAGCATCCGCTAGAGTGGAATCTCAGAAGCCAAGACATTTCTAGAAAGGAGGAATAAATAGTTCAAATGCTTACCTTTTCCCCTGCTCTGCAATAACTCCTCCTCCTGGCAGACGGCCTTATGCCCAGGTTCCCTCTGCCACACGGGGCCCTTGAACAAACCAAGTGTACCTAGGCCTGGGTGCTGAGCCCCTTAACAAGCTGCCTTCTGTCACACCCGTGCCAGGCCTGGCTGGTCCAGTCACGTCCCCTCCCCAACTTGGCCATCAGTAGTTTGTGGGCTCAGGGCCAGCTGCATGGTTTGCAGGGCCCAGTGCGAAAAGCAGGCAAAAAGTGCTGTCAACGGCACTAAATCATAATGCTTTTTCCTTTTTCCCGTGGTCTTTGTATTGTCATAAATATTTGCAGTTTAATGTTCTATGTCAAGAAGAACTAAAAATCTAAATTACTAACATGAATTTTGCTGTTCATTTTTGAAAATGCAAACATAAGAGCATTTGACTCCTCATGCATATATAGTCCCTGGTTCCTTTGAGAGTGGTGCATAAAGCTAACCTGACTATTGTTTCCCTTTCTTGCTGCATGCACATTCTGCCTCTGCTCGCTGGTGAGGGGAGAGGGCGGGAAGAAAGGGACAGGGGGCAGGAAGGCCTCTCCTGCCCTTCCCTTTGCCTCATTTGCAGTGGAAGCGGTCAGTTAATACAGGGTGTTACCACCAGAGAGGAGGGATGTGAGCAGAGCCCTTGGCATTGGTGGTTCTTAGAAGCTGTTGCCCCGGGTCTGCCTCTGGGGGTGGGAGCTCTACAGCCGGGCAGAGCAGAGGCGGCCAGGGGCAGGCTGGACATGGGCAAAGGGCAAGGGCAGCTGGACAGCAGGGACCGAGAGGGGAAGATGCTGCAGTGAGGGCCCTTGGAGTGACCGGCCTCAGCGTGTGGCAGGGGCAGGGCCAGGAGTAGAGCCAGGGACTCAGGACCCAAAGTCACCAAGGGACAGAGGATGAGTGATGGGTGGAGAGAGAAAGCAGAAGGGCAGAGCATGTGTTTAATAAAACTGGAATTTTCTGAGTCTGGGACCAGGAAAGAAGTGGTTTCAGTTGATACATTTGGCTAAGAGTTGACTATTTTTAAGGGGGAAAATGCAAGTGGTTTTTAAACCTAAGAGAGGTGATACAGTCTCACTCAGAATGAAAGGCAGGCAAAATAAACTATCTTTCACCTGTCAGGGTGAAGGGCAGAGATCTAGAAGTTTAACAACACACCACGCAGGCCAGGGCGTAGGGAAATGACCTTCTCCCGGTTCCCCCACGTTGTCTGGGAGAGTATAAAATGGTACAAGCTCTTGAAAGAGTATCCGCTAGAACTGCACACACCATTTGAACCAGAATTTTCCACCTCTAGGAATTGATCTTACTGACACATACCTATTGGCAAAGACACAAAGGATATTCATTGGAAATAATCTAAATGTCCATCCATACAGTAGCGCAGGGTCAGCAAATGTTCTATGGAAAGGCCAGGTAGGAGACAGTCCAGGACTTGTGCACTGTAAGGTCTCTCTAGCAGCCCGAAAGCAGCCACAGTGTGTAAAGGAAGATGAAACCGGAGGGCAGGCCAGATCTGGGGTCGCCTGCAGCACACGCCACCGGGCACCCGGACAGGGGAGGGAGTGGAGGGGCGGGGGGAGGGGAACGAAGTAGGGCAGGGGGTGAGGGGAGGCCTAACGTTCATACTGCCAAGGTGCCTGCTGTGGGCGTGTCGTTTCTCCAGAGATAACCAAGGAAACGATAAAGCCATGCTGCTTGCTGCGCTCCTGTTGTGTGCCGGCATTGCTGCAGCTGCCGGGATCCAACAGAAGGAAGCAGACGCGCCCCTGCCCTGGTGGGCGTGGAGGGGGAGGGTCACTCAGCCTTCGGTGCTTCCGTGTGTGGCACTGTGGGAGGCCACCCTGGCCCCACACTGACGTGGACCCTTTCATGAGCTGCCTCTGCCTCTCTTTGTCCCAGCTGTCCCTGTGCTGTAGTGCAGTGGCCTGTGCCTCCCACACCTGAGAGAGCATCTTAAGGACGAGACCGTGTCTCAGTTATCTCGGTTCCCCAGCGCCCAGCACAGAACCTGGGACCCGACCGCACAGACACCTTGCCATGCTGTGATGACTGAAGAATGCCCCTGGCTTCCAGGGCTCTGGGAACTATGAGAATGGACGCTGGGGACCCTCAGGAGGATGGCAGGACTTGGAGCAGGGAGGAGAGCTGTGAGCCAGGGCCAAAGTCTTCTCTGCTGGGGGTGGGCAGGATGCCCCCCAGGAGCCATGGTGGAGCTGGAGCGGCCAAGGGCATCCTAGGAAAGCAGCAGCTCCTCCCTCCGGCAGTTCGGGGCTTGTAAGAGGAAGATTAGCCTCTGCTGGGGCACGGGGGCTTCCAGGGAGACTGAGACAGGGGAGGCAGGCAAGTGGTCTGGGTGTGAGCAAGGTATGCTGTAAACCAACCAGCTCCTCGTGGAACCTGGGGCAGACTTCACCCGCCCCGGCTGTGTGACCTGCGTGAGTCCTCTGAGTGTCCCTTTTCCATTCAGCAGCATTCATTTCTCAAACGTGCATGGAATGCCTGCTCTGCACCAGCCCCTCCGGCCTCCACAACTGGAAAAGGCAGGACAGGCCCCTTATCGCATTGCTCCAGGCCCTGGCTGAGTGCCTTCCATTTGGTATCTCATCAGGCGCAAGTCCCCTTTACAGATAAGGAGACTGAGCTCAGAGAAGTTAAGTAATGAGCCCGAGGTCATCACAGACCGCAAATGCCAGGGCTGAGACTCAAACGTAGACCCAACCGGTAAAGTCCTAGGTCCCACTGTGCCCCCTCCAAGTAGGAGGACTGTACCCTGTCGTGCTCATGTCGCAACGAGCACAGAACGAGCACCGGGTCCCTCGCACACGGAAACATCAGCCCCTGTTGGTTCCTTCTCTCCGTCCCCATCCTTGTCCCCCAGGACATCATCCCCTTCGGCAACAACCCGATCTTCCGCTACCTCTTTGGGTGGATGGTGCCCCCCAAGATCTCCCTCCTGAAGCTGACCCAGGGCGAGACCCTGCGCAAGCTGTACGAGCAGCACCACGTGGTGCAGGACATGCTGGTGCCCATGAAGTGCCTGCCGCGGGCCCTGCACACCTTCCACAACGACATCCACGTGAGCAGGGGCAGGGCAGGGAGGGGGCACCAGGCGCGTTCCCGCGGAATGGACAAGCTTCTCCCCTTAACTGCGAGACCAGCCCTGGGCACACATGCCCTCTGGGCCTCAGTTTTCCCAGCTATAAAATGAGGGCCTTGTCCCTATACCCGCTGAGGCCTCGGCCAGCTCAGCGATGGCCCCGATCAGAGGCGAGTCACAGGGCCTGGTAACAAGCTCTCCCATGCCCTGCTCCAGCTGCGCCCTGCAGCCAGACTGGGAGGGTGGGGAGTGGAGCTGTGAGCAGCCAGAGGGGTCCCTGGAGAATGCTGCAAACCTCCTTGTGGGTGGGTGAGAGTGGGCCAGCAGTGAGCCCATCACCTATTTGAGAAAAAGCTCCAACACCCCCCTCCCTGGTCTACCAGGTCTACCCCATCTGGCTGTGCCCATTCATCCTGCCCAGCCAGCCGGGCCTGGTGCACCCCAAGGGAGACGAGACTGAGCTCTACGTTGACATAGGGGCGTACGGGGAGCCACGTGTGAAACACTTTGAAGCCAGGTCCTGCATGAGGCAGTTGGAGAAGTTCGTCCGGAGCGTGCACGGGTGAGTGGCCCAGAGTGTGGTGGGGTCCCTCTGGCTGAGGCCCCAGGGGAATGAGGCCCGCTCTGCGTGAGAACCAGGATTCCCAGCCGTGCTCAGGGGCCCTGTGGCTGGGGCGGCGAGTGTGGAAGGTGGTCAGGGTAGACCTGCAGGATCGCCTACCTCCCCTCCCTGCACCCCTCCTCCAGCGAGCACTTCAGTGCTGCCCAGCTGCTCAAGCCGGAAACCCTGGAGTCACCCCCTCTTCCCTGGGGCAGATGGTGGGTGTGGGCTTACACGTGTTCAGGGCTCCTGCTCTACACCAAAGCTAAGCAGGGAGAGATTCCAGGCTGTGACAACCATGGAGAGGCCCTGGACACAGTATTGCTCAGAAAGCAGCCTGGAACCGACTCCTGATGAACTAACGTGGACAAATCTCAGAATAATTGTGCTGACTGAAGGAGGCCAGGAAGAAAGGGTGCTGTATGATTCCACTAATAGAAAATTCCAGAAAATGCACATGAATCTGTAGTGGCAGAAAGCACATCAGTGGTTGCTTGGGGTGGCAGAGGGATAACTAAGCGTCATGAGAAAAGTTTCGGGATGATGGATGCAGCTGCCATCTGGAGCATGGTGACACTTCCTTGGTTGCATACATGCGTCAAGCTCATCCTGTTGTACATTTTAAATATGTGCAGTTATTGATGCCAATAAAAGATTAAAAGAAAACATCCCGCGCCCCATCAGGGGAGGCGGCTGTGTCTCAGGGCAGGGGCAGAAGCCAGGCAGTCTGAGCTCTGCTCCTGACTCTGCCTCCACCGCCAAGCCACCTCGCCACCTGCACCACCTGCCTCATCAGGTTGTTAGGGGGATTAAATAAGAAAAGTCCTCCTGAACCGCTTCTGCGCTGCAGAGCACGCTGCCTGTGGGGGCAGCTGGGTTTCTTTCCCTGCACCTCCCTGCGTCCTCACCCCTGCTCTGCCCCTGCAGGTTCCAGATGCTGTACGCCGACTGCTACATGAACCGGGAGGAGTTCTGGGAGATGTTCGATGGCTCCTTGTACCACGAGCTGCGGGAGAAGCTCGGCTGCCAGGACGCCTTCCCCGAGGTGTACGACAAGATCTGCAAGGCCGCCAGGCACTGAGCCGGAGCCGCCTGGAAAGACAGACACGTGTGGGCGGACAGGCATTGTCCCCTCACTCTAGCTTGGCTGCTTTCCCAGAGCCACACTTTCCAAAAGAAACCCCTCCAGAAACCACACCCAAACAGCCCAGCGCCCTCCCCTGGCTTCAGGGGCAGCCCAGTGGGGCGGAAAGAACACGGGAGTTGAAGTCCAGTTCCCAGTTTAACACTTATAAGCTATGTGAGCCTGGGGGAGTCCCTTGGCCCTCTCAGCCCAGCGCTCTTCATCTGTGAAAGGGGACAGTAATGCTGGCCTTCGGGCTGTCAGCATGCACGTCAAGCACCTGTCACCCCGACAGTGCTGGGTAAGTGCTGGCTGTCACTCTGGCTTCCCGTCCAGCATCACACCTGATGGAAGTGCTTTGGAGTCAGCAGATGAGTCTGAAAAGGCTCCGTATTAGGTCACCTGTGCTCAGGCTTGGCTGGAACGATGACAGGGATGCCCTGGGGCAGGCAGGCCCGAGACATGCCGTGCCAAAGCCAGGCCCGATTCCAAAGTTCTCTCTGCTGTCCTTGGTGACATCCTGCTCTTCCTCCTTCACACCTGGGCTTGCAGGCCCACCCCAGCCACCGCTGAGTCCACTCAGAGAGGACCAAGTTCCTGGAGGAGGCATTTCAGGGCTGAATCCTGTCCTAGCTTTGGCCCGGGACACCCAGGTGGAGAAAGTGGTCTCTGCCCTGAATTGGATCCAGGGACCTGAGTTCATTCTTCTTGGCTTGCCAACCCTCCAAGCCTCCTCTTGTCCCCAGAAGCCACGTAGTCATGGATAGGAGTGGGTCCGTGCTGCTCTTCGAGGGGCTGGGGGGGCCCACATCAAGTGGGAAAATGGATTCCACCACCATTGTGTTCCCGTGAGGTTCTCACTGCAGGGCTGAAAGGAAAGAGCATCAGCTTGATTTCTCTAACCACTCATCCCTCTTTTGTTCTTTCTCCCACCAACACCCTTCCCCCAGCTGTAGTTAATTTCAGTGCCTTACAAATCCTAAGCTCAGAGAAAAGTTAGCTTGTTTCTGTTCCAGAGGGAAGGGAACCTCCCTGGGCCCTCCCCTCTCTATTTATCACAGCTTGATTGTTTATGCAACTCCATCTTAAGAACTGCCCAGCCTCAGCTGCAACCCAGAATCTGAGAAGGAATTGTGTCATGCAAGGGAAGCTGGAATCAGGCAGCTGAGCCAGTGGCAGCTGCAGTAAGCAGGAGATGTAGGTTTCAGCCCCCGCTCCACTGTCAGTGAGCTGCCACCGTGGGCAAGTCGTTTGTCCCTCTGAGCTGCAGTTTCCTCATCTGTCACATCAGTACAGACAAGACCTCCCTGGAGCCCTTCTGGCTGTCCTAGGCTGTCCTGTGGTTGCAAAACCCATGAAAAGCCTCATTGTGTTGAAAGTCAGAGAACAAATATACATGATCCAGGTAGACATGTCAGGGTTGTCTGTCATTCCAGGTCCTTCCTTCAGCCCCAAGGCCAGCTCCCATCTCATTTTCAGAAATGAAAAAAAAAAAAAAATAGACCTCATTCTCTTGTTTGCAAAGCACGCAAATTCTGGCATTAGAATTTGCCAGAATCTCACAGCGGGCCCCTGTGCTTCCTGCCCGGTGCGAAACTGATGATTCTACTCGCTGTAGATGAATGGTTAGCACCAGCTAGGTTAATCCAGCCGCTGAAGTGCCACCATTTTGCCAGTGGAGCCTCCGTCCCTAAGTCCCTGGGACTGGCCAGAGATGCCAGCGGCCTGTGTTGCTCTTAGTCCCATAACCAAAATCCAGGCTTTCCCAGACCTTGCCTGCAATCAGGGGCTTGGGAGGGAAAGTATTTTGGAACCACGGCAGCCTCAGGTTAATGTTGCTGCACTGGCCTGGAGAGAGGCTGTCCCTCCAGCGTGATGAGCTGAGTCAGCAGCTTCTGCTTGTGCCCAGTCCTGTCGCTGTCCATCCACACGGTGACTGGGGTGGAGTTGCCTTCGGTGCCAGGGGGCAGTGCATGTGGAAAGTACATACCAGAGTAGACCTCTCCCCTCCAGAGCCCTGAGTGTCTTGCCTGTTGAAGGTTTTCTGTGAAATCAGAATTATAGCCAGAAGGATGAATAATCAGATATGAGTGAAAGCGGAGGGGGGAGGCGGATGGGTGTGGCAGTGTGTGGTGTGTGATTCTCATTTTTTTTCTTTGGTCGTGGGGACGGAGGAGAGAGGCATGAATCTCCCCTCTCAGGCTCTCGAAGCCACAGGCGCCTGTCTGCTCTCTGAATACACGTCCCAGTGGCTGTGAGGCTGCTGCTTCTGTAAAAATAAAAGTATGGATTGGAAGCTAGCCTTGGTCGTGTCTTGCTCTGGGGACCACAGTGCAGAGTCAGACCTGGGCTCGAGTATGAGCTATGTTACCCCCCACCTCAGCTGCCCTCTCTGAACCAGTGTGCCCACGGACAACTGCTGAAAGAACTTGGGGGGAGGGCGGGTGACAAGTTTATTACTGTCACAGTGTGATCCAGAGTAGGTGTCCTAGGATCCTTCTCTCTGCAAGGTGGACAACAGACCAGTGAGAGGGCCACCACAAGAGTCCAGGTGAGAGGTGGCATCTCAGGTCAGCGTGGGGCCCACGCTTTTTAAGGCACCAGACATGGCTGTCAGGAGCTCTGGGCTTTGTCACTTGGTTGTGACCAACTAATATTAGCAAGTTAGTTAATCCTATTGAGACTATTGTTCTCTTCTATGAACTGGTGAAAACTACTAGCTGTCCCTTAAAAGGCATTCTTTCCTTCTTTATATGCACCGCTAGACTACATTTCCCAGCCTCCCTTGCAGTCCGGTGTGTTAAGAGTTTTCTCCAGTGGAATGTGAACAGAAGTGATCAAAACCTATGAGGTCTCCTGGCTCTTCACTGACAAGCAAATGACAAGCAGGCTATAGATAATAGGAGAGCCCTAAGTTGGAGGAAACCTGGATCCCTGAGTCACTGTGTGGAGAAGAAATGCCCCACCAACCTGAAACCTACCCTAGGCTGTTATGAGAGCAAAAAACAAACTATTGTTGAAACACTACATATCTGGAACTATTAGAGCAATTTAGCTCACCCTATTACAGGACTGTGAGGCTTAAGCAGATATGAAAGTTGAGTTTAGTGCAATAAAGTTTTATGCAAATGCACAGATGTACATGATGGACATTTTCCTAAAATATGTGTAATATGTGGGTCTCATGCTGAAGTTATCTGAAGGACCCCTTTAGGAAATTCCAATTGTTCAGTTTCACAAATTGGAATTTGTGTATTCTCTTTGAAGGAGAACTCTAATAATGTTTCTTAAAACATAGCTTTTCCCGTTGAAGTGCTAAATATCACCTTACATTTCAGTAGCACACAATATACAATGTCGTATTTAATTTTCACAATCCTGTAACAAAAAGATCAGCTTCTATCCCCATTTTACAGATGAGGAAAGTGAGGTTCAAGAAAGGCCAAATGATTTGCCTAAAAGCCACCCTGAAATTATGAATAAGTTAAAGAAGGTGCAGACTCATCCTCCAGTCTCTTAGCATCAAGGTGCTCAGAACCTTAGCCTGAGCCAGCTGGGACAGGGGCCCCAGACCTGGCAAGATGGAATGAGACCCCACTGCTGAGCCCTGCATGCAGCAGGTAGTCGGGGCTAGCTGCCCTGGACTCGGCTTAGAAGGCAAGCCACTGGTCAGCAGGAGTGTTCTGCTTTGCCCCAGACCAGTTCCCTCCGTGAGGAATCCTTGTCCACACAGCAGTGTTCAGACAACATTCATGCCAGAGTTGCAACAATTGGTTTAACAGACTTGGCTTATATAAGAAAAATCACACACACTCTACACAAATTAAATGTTTCAAAAATATGCTTCCCAGTCATGTCCTAGTGTTGAGATGCCCCACAGGTTTCCTCCTGCAGGGCCACTTGTCATTGCAGGTGACTGCCTGGCATGCCATGCTGGGCTCCAGGAGGTGAGGTTTTGAGGTTAAGATTTGGTTGTTGGGCCAAGGGACACAGGAATAGCGGGACCTTGCTCTGCCCATCACCCCTCCTTCCCACGGGCTTCCCTAGGGAGCAGATCCAAGGACCAGTTTAAAAATGGGGCCCTTACTGACTATCCAAGCTGGCGCCTGGGAGCCCAACCCAGAGCTCCTTAGTAAACTGGGCTCGGGCTCTAGACTGGGCAATCGTGGGTGGCTGCTCCCCCTAGCCCAAGTCCAAAGCTGAATCTTCCAAGCAGCTGGTTCCTGAGCCTGAAGCCGTGGGTCTGGCATCGAGACCAGTGAGAGGAAGCCAGGGAAGGAGAGAGGGCCACCAGGGGGCCTTGGCTTGGCTCACAACTTGGCCAGGTGGCAAGAGGGTGTCAGAGCAATCTGTCCACCACTTGATGACCTCTTGGAAGCTGGAAGTAGGAGAGAACTCACACGTGTGACTTTGGAACTCCTGGTAACCCTACGTACACACTCGAAGTCCGACTCCTCTCGAGCAGGGGTGAGAAAGGCATGTGTTTTTAAGGGGTCAGTGGTGTGCGGGCTGGCTTGCAATGGCTTGCAAGAGCCATTCGGCACACCTCCCTCCACTTCCACAGCCAGTGACATTGGCAGCCTGGAATCATCCGCGTGGGAGCATTCACACCATGGAATTAGCACACACTACAAGTCAGGGCTTGTTTTGTTCTGGTGTTATATTAATAGCAGGGTTTTCCAGAGAGACAGAACCAATAGAAGATTTATAGATATATAGTCATGTGTCACTTAACAATGGGGAGACATTCTGAGAAATGCATCATTACATGATTTTGTCATTGTGCAAGCATCCTAGAGTGCACTTACACAAACCGACATGGTATAGCCTCCCGCCTCCTGGGCTATACGGCCTGGCCTGTTGCTCCTAGGCTGCGAGCCTGTGCAGCGTGTTACTGCACTGAATACTGTAGGCAACTGTAACACAGTGGTAGTCATTTGTGTATCTAAAGATATCAACATAGAAGAGGTACAGCAAAAATATGGGACCACCATCGAATATGTGGTCTGCCATTGACTGAAATGTCATTATTAGGTATACGACTGTGTATATAGAGAGAGACAGAGACAGACAGATGCACAGACACACAGAGAGAAACTCGGTATAAGGTATTGGTTCGTGCGATTCTAGAGGCTGAGAAGTCCCAAGATCTACAGTCAGCAAGCTAGTGCCAGGCTGAGCCCAAAGGCCTGAGAACAGGAAGAGCCAATGGGGTTAGTGCCAGTCTAAAAGGCAGCAGGCTCCAAACCCAGAGAGAGCCAATTTTGCAGTTCAGATCTGGGGGCAGGAAGAGACTAATGTCCCAGCGTAAGCACTGAGGCAGGAGGAGTTTCTGTGTATTCAGTCTTTTTGTCCTATTCAGGTCTTCAACTGGTTGGATGAGGCCCCCCCGCCACAGGAGGGCAACCTGCTTTACTCAGTCTACTGATTCAAGTACTAATCTCAGCCAGAGACACCCGCACAGACACAGCCACAATAAAAGTTTGGTCAAACATCTGGGCACCCCCGGGCCCACTTACATTGACACATAAAATTAGGCACTTGCTGTTTTGTGTTGAGAATCAGCTGTTAAACATGTGCCAGCACATCACTCATCCAGCACCTCTCCCGGTGACCCCCAAATCCAAGCTGAGCAGGAAAGGTGGCCCCTGCGCCCTGTCTCTGGCCTCAGGGCATTACCTCTTGGGCTCTGAACCCTCTGCATCTCTGTCACCACCCCCCACGCCCTTGTCCTCTGTGCTCATTTTGGCTGAATCCCCATTCCACAAACCTAGTCCTTTTGGGTTTTTATGGAGGCTTCCTTATGTAGGCATGATCAATTGAATCACTGGCCATTAGTGATCGACTCAACCTGCAGCCCCTCCCCCCTCCTGGAAGGTGGATGAGACTGAAAATTTCAATCCTCTAATCACTTCTTAGTCTTTCTGGTGACCAGTCCCCATCCTAAAGCTGCCTAGGTGTCCCCAGCCACCAGACATCTCATTAACATACAAAAGATACATCACTCAGGAGATTCCAAGGGTTTTAGGAGCTGAGTGCCAGGAAACAGAGATGAAAACCAAATATATATATATTTCAAAACATCACAGATACACTCTGAGTTAATTTTTGTACATGATAAAAACGACTGATCATGCTTCACTTTTTGGCATATTAATATCCAATAGTTCTAGCACCATGTGAAAAAACTATTATTCTCCACTGAATTCTCTTTGCACCATTATTAAAAATCAGTTGTCCATATATGTGTGAGTCTGTTTCTGGATTCTATATTCTGTTCCTTTGATCTGTCTACCTTGATGCCAATTCTATGTAGTCTTGATTCCTGTACTTCATAACTCTGTAAATAAGGCAATGTTTTTCAAAGTTGTTTGGCTCTTTTGTGTCTTTTTTATTTCCATGTAAGTTTTAGGATCAGCTTGTCAACTTTCACAAAAAAATTACCAGGATTTTTTTTTTTTTTTTGAGACAGAGTCTCGCTTTGTTGCCCAGGCTAGAGTGAGTGCCATGGCATCAGCCTAGCTCACAGCAACCTCAAACTCCTAGGCTCAAGCAATCCTCCTGCCTCAGCCTCCCGAGTAGTTGGGACTACAGGCATGCGCCACCATGCCCGGCTAATTTTTTCTATATATTACTTGGCCAATTAATTTTTCTATTTATAGTAGAGACGGGGTCTCGCTCTTGCTCAGGTTGGTTTCGAACTCCTGAACTCAAACGATCCGCCCGGCTCGGCCTCCCAGAGAGCTAGGATTACAGGCGTGAGCCACCGCGCCCGGCCTTAGGATTTTTGATTGGCATTGCACGAGTTTATAGATTAATGACCTCTTAACAATATTGAGTCCTTTTTTGGGTTTTGTTTATCTATCTTCAAATATGTTCAGAAATATTGAATCCTTTGACCCATGGACAAGCTATATCTCCCCCTTCTTTATGTCTTCTTTAATGTCTCAGCAGTATTTTATTGCTTTCAATGTACAGATCTTGTATGTCTTGAACTCCTGGTCTCAAGCGATCCTCCTGCCTTGGCCTCCCAAAGTGCTGGAGATTACAAGCGTGAGCCACCGCACCCGGCCCGATATTGTCATCTTTAGTCAAATTTATACCCAAATGTTTCATATTTTTGATGCTATTATAGATGGTATTTTCAATTTTCAATTTTTTATTGTGTTGCTAGTATATGGAAATATGCCCTCTAGCCTGGGCAACAGAGTAAGACCTTGTCTAAATAAGTAAATAAACAAATACTCAGAAATCATAAAGGAGACATTACAATTAAAATTGATGCCACAGAAATACAAAGGATCGTTAGCAACTATTATGAACAAGTATATGCTAACAAATTGGAAAACCTAGAAAACCTAAAAACCTGGAAAACCTAAAAAAAACCTTTGGCTTTTTTATCCTATTTCCTGAAACCTCGCTAAACTGACTTCTTAGAGCTAGAGCTAGTAGCTTTTTTGAAGATTCAGTAGGATTTTTTACATAGATGACCAAGTTGCCTGTGAATAAAGATGGTTTTACTTCTTCCAAAACAGTCATTCTGACACGAGTGAGGAAGTAGCTGCTTTCTGTAAGACACTCGCACTCTAAAGAAAGTGTTTGAAGTATTCTTTATCATTATGCAAGCTTTATGGCTGAACCTGTGGTGTCCAGGTCTCCTCTTCTCTAGGGACAACCCACCCACTCTCTCACTGGCATGAACAGTGAGGGAAGGAGCCCAGGACGTTGTGACCAGCCTCCATAGACCCACCTGCAGGCTGGATGGGGTGCCCACAGGGCTGACTCTGTGGGTGGAGCCAATGCTCCCAGTGGCTGGACACGGCCTGGCGGTCAGCAGTCTCCTCAAAGCATGAGGCTCTGCTGAGCTTCCAGAAGTGTCCTGGGATGGAGATGGGATGTTCCTGGAAAGTTCTAGAATTGCCAAATATGCTACACTGTGCCACCCCTTTTTGGACTTTAATGAACAAGGAGCCAAGCACTCGCTTTAGAATAGAAAGGCTTCCAAGAGTGTCAACCACATTCCACCCCTTCAGTCCGTTTGCTGTCTGGCCCCCACGTTCGTGTCATTGCTGATTCCAGTTCTCAGGATATTCGATCTCTTGTAACATAAGATATCTGGCCCCAGGTGTCCCAGCAGGCATTGTGACCTCCAGGTATACAGTTCCAGCAAAGGTGGTCCCAGCACATCTCTCCCCTCTCCCAGGAATTCTCATGCGTCCTTTCTCGCCCCCTTCCCACGCCCATCCTCCCATCCCCAGATTTGTCTTCAGGCCTTGGGCCTCCAGTCACCGCAGGCTGTCCTTCACGTGCGGCTTTAAGAAGTAGGATCTGAATCATAATCCACTGTTGGACGGCACTTCCCCTTAGTGAAAGGTGTGATCCTTTCCCTTTAAAAAGACAGAAAAAAAATGGAAGTAATCACTCGGAAGGGACCGGGCTCCCTGTCCCTGGAGGGACACCCATGGGGACGGATGGGCACCTGCTGATTGCGTTTCACAAGGGATCCTACATCAGGTGAGAGGCCAAAATCAACAACCTCTAGACCTCTTCCAACAAAACGGCCTGGTTCTATGGGGAAGAGCCTGCCAATCTGCACCTAGTTCAGCTCATTAGAGAACCCAAGTTGGTTTGCAAGAAATTCAAGTAAAAAAAATCATAGTGCCCGAAGAATTTTCTAGCCCAACCCTGAGAACGAGACAGAGGACCAGAGAGAGAGGCAGGAACTTACCTGAGGTCACCTGAAGGCCAGAGTCCCACCCAGAGCTCCTGACCTTAGTCCTGTGTCCCCTCTTATGCTCTGATTCTTTCCGAGGAGTGGAACCCGGAGGACCCTGGTTCCCATCCTAGAAACCACTTGAAGATGGCATTTCTGTAGAGACCCCTGCTGTGTGTGTCCAACATCAGCCGCCAGCCCTTACGTTGCACATTTTATGCACTTGTGTATTGCCTGTCTTCCCCCCACCAGGTGTGCACTCCACAAAGGGAGGCAGGACCTGGATTTCTTAACTGGTACTTCCCCCACGCCTAGACCATTACCTGTGCTTAGCAAATACCTGTCAAAGGAAGAAAGGTGGAACAGAGGGCTGGCTCAGCAGGCAAAAGGGCCTCTCCTGCCATTCAGTGGGTCTCCATGTCTCTGTCTCCTCACTCTTGTGCGCTGCCCCTGTCATCTGGACTGTCAGGACAGCCTCCTTTCCTCTGCCCCCAGCCCACTCCCCCACCCCACAATGCCACAGAGTAAGTTCTTACAACACAAGAGTTACTTCTCGTTAAAATCCTGCTGAGTGGGGAAAAATATTTGCAACGCATATCTGATAAAGGACTTACACCTAGGATATGTAAAGAACTCTCAGAACTTAATATAAGAAAACAAGCAACCCATTTTCCAAAACATGCAAAAGACTTGAAAACATGAAGTTGCTGGAGCCTCAAACAGGCCTCAACAGGACTTTTCAAACAGGTTGAAGATTGCTGGAGCCCAGGAGTTCAAGACCAGTCTGCACCACATAGCAACACAGCAAGACCTCGTCTCTACAAAAAGGTTTTAAAAAGTAGCCGGGTGTGGTAACATGCACTTATAGTCCCAGCTACTCGGGAGGCTGAGGCAGGAGGATTGTTTGAGCCTAGGAGTTTGAGCTTGCAGTGAACTACAATGATACCACTGCACTCTAGCCTGGGCAACGGAGTGAGACCTTATCTAAATGAATAAATAAACAAATACTCAGAAATCATAAAGGAGACATTACACTTGATACCACAGAAATACAAAGGATTGTTAGCGACTATTATGAACAAGTATATGCTAACAAACTGGAAAACCTAGAGGAAATGGATACATTCCTAGATAAATAAAACCTACCAAAATTGAACCATGAAGAAACAAAAAACCTGAATGGACCAATAATGAGTAATGAAATTGAATCAGTAATAAAAGTATCCCCACAAAGAAAAGCCCAGGGCCGGATGGATTCACTGCCAAATCCTACCAAACTCATAAAGAAGGACACTCAAACTATTCTTCTCACACTAATCCAGAAAACTGAAGAGGAGGGAATTCTTCCTAACCCATTCTATGAGGCCAGCATTACCCTGATATCAAAACCAGACAAGCACACAACAAAAAAGAAAACAGGCCAGTATCCCTGATGGACACAGATGAAAAAATTCTCAACAAAATACTAGCAAGTGAATCTAACAACACATCAAAAAGATAATATGCCATGATTAAGAGGGATTTATCCAGAGATTCAAGGATGGTTCAACACAAGCAAATCAGTAAATGTGATACATCACAGCAACAGAATAAGGGACAAAAATCATATGATCATTTCAATAAATGCAGAAAAAGCATTTGATAAAATTCAACATTCTTTCATAATATAAGCCCTCAACAGATTAGGCATAGAAGGAATATACCTCAACATAATAAAGGCTGTATAGGATAAAGCCAAATCTAACATCATACTGAATGGGAGAAAGCGGAAAGCCTCTCCTCTAAGAACTAACACAAGACCAGGATATGCCCACTTCTACCACTCTTATTCAACATAGCACTGGAGGTCCCAGCCAGAGAAACCAGGCAAGAGAAAGAAATAAAAAACAATCACACTGGAAAAAAGGAAGTCAAAATTGTCCCTCTTTGCAGATGACATGGCCTTATATATAGAAAAACCTAAAGACTTCAAAAAAACTCTTAGAACCGATAAAAAAAATTCAGTAAAGTTGCAGAATACAAAATTGACATACAAAAATCAATAGTGTTTTTTTGTTGTTGTTTCTTTGTTTGTTTTTGAGACAGAGTCTCACTGTGTTGCCTGAGCTAGAGTGCCGTGGTGTCAGCCTAGCTCACAGCAACCTCAAACTCCTGGGCTCAAGCAATCCTGCTGCCTCAGCCTCCCAAGTAGCTGGGACTACAGGCATGCGCCACCATGCCTGGCTAATTTTTCTATATATATTTTTAGTTGGATAATTAATTTTTTTCTATTTTTAGTAGAGATGGAGTCTTGATCTTGCTCAGACTGGTTTCCAACTCCTGACCTTGAGCAATCCTCCCACCTCGGTGTCTCAAAGTGCTAGGATTACAGGCATGAGCCACCATGCCCAGCCATCAATAGTGTTTTTATACACCAATAACTACCTGGAAAAAAAAATCAAGAAAGCAATCCCATTTACAATAGCTGCCAAAAAATAATAATAAAATACCTGGGAATAAAGTTAACCAAGGAGGTGGAGGGCCTCTACAAGGCCTTTCTACAAGAAAGGCTTTCTACAAGGAAAACTACAAAACACTGATAAAAGAAATTGAAGAGGACACAAACAAATGGAAAGACATCCCATGCTCTTGGACTTGGAAGAATTAATATTGCTAAAATGACCATACTACCCAAAGCAAGCTATAGATTCAATGCAATCGCTATCAAAATGCCAAGGACATTTTTCACAAAAACAGAAAACACAATCCTAAAATTTGTATGGAATCACAAGAGACCTTTAATAGTCAAAGCAATGCTAATAAGAAAAGCTGGAGGCATCACAAACATAACTTCAAAACATACTACACAAAGCTATAGTAACCAAAACAACATGGTATTGGTATAAAAACAGACACACAGACCAATGGAACAGAATAGAGAGCCCAGAAATAAATGCACATATTTACATCCAACCAATTTTTGACAAAGGTGCCAAGAACATACAATGGGGAAAAGATACCCTCTAATAAACAGTGCTGGGCAAACTGGATATCCATATGCGGAAGAATGAAACTATCCTATCTCTCTCTCACCATATACGAAAATCAACTCAAGATGGATTAAAGACTTAAATATTAAGACCTGAAACCTTAAAACTACTAGAAGAAAACATAAGGAAAATGCTTTAGAACATTGGTCTAGGCAAAGATTTTATGGCTATGACTTCAAAAGCAGAGACAACAAAAACAAGAAAATAGAGAAATGGGACTATATCAGACTAAAGCTTCTATACAACAAAAGAAACAAGCAACAGAGCAAAGAGACAACCTGTAGAATAGGAGAAAATATTTGTAAACTATTCATCAGATAAGGGACTAATATTCAGAATATTCAAGGTATTCAACAGTAAAAAAACCACAATTAATCCCATGAAAAAGTAGGCAAAGAACATAAATAGACATTTCTTAGAAGACATGCAAATGGTCAATAGGTATATGAAAAAATGCTCAACATCACTAATTATCAAGGAAATGTAAATCAAAACCACAATGAGCCTGGGCGTGGTGGATATGCCTATAATCTTAGCACTCTGGGAGGCTGAGCCAGGAGGATTGCTTGAGCTCAGAAGTTCGAGACCAGCCTGAGCAAGAGTAAGATCCCTGTCTCTACTATAAATACAAAGAAATTAGCCAAATAACTAAAAATAGAAAAAATTAGCTGGGCACGGTGGTGCATGCATGTAGTACCAGCTCCCCGGGGAGCTGAGGCGGGAGGATCACTTGAGCCCAGGAGTTTGAGGTTGCTGTGAGCTAGGCTGACACCACAGCACTCTAACCTGGGCAAGAGAGTGAGACTCTGTCTCAAAAAAACAAAACAAAACCACAATGAGATATCATCTCACCACAGTTAGAATGGCTATTATCAAAAAGATAAAAAAATAATGCTGGCAAAAATGCAGAGAAAAGGCAACTCTTAGACACTGTTGGTGAGAATGCAAATTAGTGCAGCCATTATAGAAGACAGTATGGAGGTTTCTTTAAAAACTAAAAATAGAACTACCATACAATGCAGCAATCCCACTCCAAGGTATTTACCCAAAGGAAATGAATCAGTATGTCTGATTTCAAAGAGATGTCAGCACTCCCATGTAGATTGCAGCACTATTCACAATAGCCAAGATATGGAATCAACCTAAGTGTCCATCAATGGATGAATAAATAGAGAAAACATGGTATATAAACACAATGCAGGCGGGGTGCAGTGGCTCACGCCTGTAATCCTAGCACTCTGGGGGGCTGAGGCGGGTGGATTGCTCGAGGTCAGGAGTTCAAAACCAGCCTGAGCAAGAGCGAGACCCCGTCTCTACTATAAATAGAAAGAAATTAATTGGCCAACTAATATATAGAGAAAAAATTAGCCAGGCATGGTGGCGCATGCCTGTAGTCCCAGCTACTCGGGAGGCTGAGGCAGCAGGATTGCTTGAGCCCAGGAGTTTAAGGTTGCTGTGAGCTAGGCTGACGCCACGACACTCATTCTAGCCTGGGCAACAAAGTGAGACTCTGTCTCAATAAATAAATAAATAAATAAATAAACACAACACAATATTATTTGGCCATAAAGAGAATGAAATCCTGTCATTTGCAGTGACATGGATAGAAACGGAGGTCATTATTTTAAATGAAATAAGCCAGACCCAGAAAGACAAATACTGCGTGTTCTTACTCACATCTGGAAGCTAAAGAAGTTGAACTCCCAGAGGTAGAATAGAGCAATAGTTACCAGAGGCTGGGAAGGGTGAGGAGGATGAGGAGAGGTTGGTTAGTGGGTACAAACATACAGTTAGAAGGAAAAAGTTCTAGTGCTCAATAGCACAGTAGGAAGACTACAGTTAACAATATTTTATTGTATATTTTGAAATAGCTAGAAGCGAAGATTTGAAATGTTCCCAACACAAAGAAATGATAAATGGGGATGGCTATCCCGAATGCCCTGATGTGATCATTATGCATTGTGTGCATGTGTCAAAATATCATATGTACCCCATATTATTTGTCAACAGAAAAATAGACAAAGAAAGGGAGAGGAATCATCGGGAGAGCGATGTTGCAATGTTTTTGGGAAACGGACAGTACAGGAGGCATTAGCAGGGCTGAGAAGGCTGAAGAGCAAGCTGCCTGCAGCAGGGGAAGCCAATGAGACCCTCCTGCCACCAAACTTCAGAAAGGCCCAGGAGGTGGAGGCACCAGTATCTCAGAAACCAGGCACAAGACCAAGCTGCAGACAAGAGGGAAAGCTAGACATGACTCCCCGCCTACCGCTTGGCCACCCAAGCGACTGGAGGTTTAGTTTGTGAAGAAGGTTCCAGACAGGAGGGGGTGTGGGCGGGGAAGGCCAGCGCAGTGGATGAAGGAAGATGGGCCCCACAGTGAGAAGAGAAAGAGTAAGAGGAAGTCCACACACCTGAGGAGAAGGAGAGAGACCACCAGCCTCCTTCCCTAAACACCAGCAGCCATACCTACCCCCAACCAAGACGGAGGATTCTCTTCTAGAAAAGCTGAATGACCCCTGAGAAAATAGCCAGACACCCTGGCATTTGAGGGTCTGCCAATGGGAAGACCAGATCCTCAGCCAATCGCTCCCAACGAAGCCAGTGGTTGACAGGTCCCACCCAGACTCACGGCAGTTTTTAGTGCTTTCCTCTTAAATACGAACAAACCAGTGAAACAAAAAAGGGAAATTGGAAGAAGACTAAGCAGGGGACAAAAGAATGTAGGGAAACTAACTCATATCCTTAGATGAAAGAACATACTGCATACATGACACAGAACTGGGTGCTATTAAAAGGGAAAAAAAGAGGCTATCCACAACACAAAACAGCTCTTGAAAATTAAAATATACAATAGCCAAAATTTTAAAAGGCAATAGTAGGGTAGATAAGGACAAGGAAATTTTACCAGAAAGTAGAAGAGGAAAGGCAGAGATGAAAAATTTTAAAAAGTAAAAAAAAAAAGGTAAGCAAACTAGAGTGCCAAACAAGGACATCGAACATTCACCTAAAAGATTCCTGAAAAGGAGAAGAGAGAACACGGAGAGGAATCATCAAAGACAAAAACTCAAGCAAGATTTTCCCAGAGTAGAAGGTGCTTAGTCTCCAGATGGAAGGAACCCAGTGAGTACCCAACACGATGGATGAAAACAGACTCACACTAAGACCCATCAGAACATGAGGGACAAAGAGAAGATCCTAAAAAGCTTCCAGAAAGGAAAATGCAGGTCACATACAAAGGACAGAAAACCAGAATGGCACCAGACTTCTCAACAATCACACTTGAAGCTAGGAGGCTATGGAGCTAAGCCTTTGAAATTCCAAGGGAAAATTATTTCCAACCTAGAATTTTATTTCCAACCAAACTATTGATCATATATGCAGGTGGAAAGAATCAGAAAAATTTTCAGGCAGAGTATGGTGGCTCATGTCTATAAGGCCAGCAGCACCTTGGGAGGCCGAGGCAGGAGGATCACTTGAGCCCAGGAGTTCAAGACCAGCCTGAGCAATACAGTGAGACTCCTATCTCTATGAAAATAGAAAAATTATACAGGTGTGGTGGCATGTGCCTGTAATCCCAGCTACTCAGGAGGCTGAGGCAGGAGGATCACTTGACCCCAGGAGTTTGAGGTTACAGTGAGCTATGCTAATGCCACTGCACTGTAGCCCAGGCAAAAGAGCAAGATCCCATCCAAAGAAACACAAAGAAACATTTTCAATCATGCAGTTTATCAAAAACATTACCTCCCATCGCCCTTTCTCAGGAATCTCCCAAAACAAGGGAGCAAATCAGGAAGGAAGAAAATACAGGACTACTTTGATTAAAAATAAATAAATAAAACATTTTGGGCCAGGCCTTCTGGCTCACACCTGTAATCCCAGCACTTTAGGAGGCTGAGGCAGGAGGACTGTTTGAGGCCAGGAGTTCAAGACTAGCATGGGTAACACAGTAAGACCTCATCTCTACAAAAAATTTAAAAATTAGCCAGGCATGATGGTACGTGCCTGTAGTCTCTCTTGAGCCCAGCAGTTTGAAACTTCAATGAGCTAGGATCACAGCACTGTTGCTCCAGCCTGAGCACAGAGCAAGATGCTGTCTCAAAAAAAAAAAATTGTTTTTTTTAATTACATTTAAAAGCTCGTTTTCCCTGAGCAATCTGGTCCCCAGAAGCTGGTCCTCATGTCCTCACCATAATTTCCAAAAACCAAAATGTTCAATTCTAAAGGGCATGTTTATTCACATTTCAACATTCTGAAATTGAGATTATATTGCAACTGATGGTCTCCTAGATAAATAAAATATGGCGTCAGCTAGCACTTGCAAGCTGTTTTATAGTTTGCCACAGTGTTTCATGCACCTTCCCTTTCTTGGGCGTCAGCACAACTTCCTGAAATGAGTTCACCAACTCCACTATGAACAACAAAAAATGTGTGGCTTCCACATGGTGAAGCCACTCAGGGCAAAGTCCAGACCATGTGTGCTGTGGGTGGAAGATTTAGCATTGATTGAGTACCTTTTCCTTACTGAGAGTTTTCAACAGATCATTTCATTTGGGTCTTCTCAGATATCTGCTCTTTTGACAGCTGAAGGAAATGAGGCTCAGAGAGGTTAAGCAACGCGCACCACCTCACACAGCCAGCAGGTGCCAGAGCCAGGATCTGAACTTGAGCTCTCTCCACTGCCTCCACTGTTTGGCTGGCATTAGGGGCAGCAGCTGTGTTCCCATGGGAACCGAGCATGGGGAACCCCCAGCCCACCCCTGAGTAAGCCCTTCCCTGCCCTCGCCCCCTCTCTGGAGCGTCAGTTGCACTCACTGCATGATCATGTCCCGGTCCAGGTCCGAGAGGTAGCGTTTGGATCCAACCAGGAACAGGGACCGGTAGCGCTGCCGTCTGTCCTTTGTCTCCATCAGCCAGGTGTTCAGGTAGCGGCCCACACCTACCGGGTTCTGCACCAGGGAGAGGATGGCAGGACATCAGCAAACCTGGCCTGGGGACTTGACCTTGGCCTCCTCTCCTCCTCCTAGACTCTTCTCTGCTCCATCTGTTATGAGTTGAACTGTGTCCCCCAAAAAGATACACTGAAGTCCCAATCTGAGAACCTAGGAATGTGATCTTATTTAGAAACAGGGTTGTTGCAGACGTAATTAGTTAAAACGAGGTCATACTGGAGTAAGGTGAGTCCTTAAGCCAATATGACTGGTGTCCTTCGAAGAGACACACAGAAGGAACACGGCCATCTGAGGTTGGAGCAATGATGCATCTATGGGCCCAGGAATGCCAAGGACCCCGGCCACCACCAGAAGCTACAAAGAGGCAAGGAAGGATCCTCCCCTACATGTTTCAGAGGGAGCATGGACCTGCAGACACCCAGATATGGGACTTCTAGCCTCCAGAACTGTAAAAGAATACATTTCTGTTGTTTGAAGCCACCTAGTGTGTGGCCCTTTGTTACGGCAGCCCTAGGAAAGGAACACGCCATCCCACCCAGATGTCTGGGTTGTAGATGATACAAGAGGCACCAACAGAGAGGTTCAGAAAGATGTCACTGGCTGAAGGTAACACAGCAAGGGCAGAAGAAAGGCAGGACAAGAACCCAGCTATCTGCAGAAACAGTGCCCAGCGTGGGGCTGGGAGACCAGAGACTAGTCAGTCTCTAGAGTCAGGACCCAGAGACTAGTCGCATGTGAGGCAGAACTTGCCTCCCACACGGGAGAGGCCTGTTCCAGGAGGGAGCAGACTCCAGGCTAGAGCGTGTATGCAGAGGGCTCCCTGCCCTGGCTGCACATCAGCCCATCCCACTGTGGAGTGGCCTGCTCTGTAGTAGCAGCATGGTCACTTGGCTCTAGTCTAAACATTTTCCTTGGGGTCCCCGAGCGAAGCCCATCTGCCCTGCAGGAGGTGCAGGCTGGGGGTGAAGAAAGGAAGGATTGGTCCTCACCAGGATGGGTAAGTGGAGGCTGGGCACACTGAGGACCCTGCAGTCACCTGGGGAGCTAAGGAGGTGGGGTGGCTGGCACATTCCCCTGGGAGGAGGAAGAGCTCGGAGGTGGGGGTGCGGGGTGAGCAGTGGGAAGGAGCAGGACAGGAAGACAAGGACGTTACAAGCAAGCCATTCCCAAGGAAACCACGGGAGACCTTGAAAGCAGAAAGCTGTTCAAAACCAGGCAAAACTAACCCGTGGGGCCAGAAGTCAGGCCAGGGGCTACTTGGTAGGGGTGGGGCTGTGCAGGGGCTCCTGACTGCTGGAAACAAGAGCTCTTGAATGCACGAGGAGGTAGTTACACAGGTGAGGCCATTTGTGATAATTTATTCACGCACGAACCTTTCTATATGATTACTGGACCCTAATCAAAGGTGTGCTCATAAACTGAAGATTGGAGTAAGAGAAATGGAGTGAGGTCAATGCCCAAGGCCACTGTCAGTTCAGGAGGCAAGCACACACCCCAGGAGCTTAGCTGCTTTACAAACCACTAACAAACCAAAGGGTGCGTCACTCACTCATTTGTCACCCACTGGGGATGACTGCTTCTAGGGAGGGGGACGAGAGCAGGAGAGGGAGGGGCCAGAGGGGGCCTTGCTCAGCGGGGGTGAGCTATGGGCCAACTTCACTCTCTGAGAAGATAAGAGAATGGGATGGCTGCAGAGAGATGTCTTTTAGCTCACTGGTTCTCCAAGTGTGGTCCTGGGAACTTACTAGAAATGCAAATTCCCGAATCCCACCCCAGGACTGCTGCATCAGAAGTTCCAGCACTGGCCCAGTGACCTGTGTTTTAACAAGCCCTGCAGGTGATGCTAATATCTGCTCACCCAAGTGTGAGAACCAATGCCTTTGAAAAATAAGACAGGAGGAGTGGCTGTCAGGAAGGGTAGCATTGGCTTGGTCCAAGCATCAGCTCCCAGGGGACGAGGGTTCGAGGCTGCCTGCAGAGGCAGGAGAGTGTTCCCTGCCCCCATGTATGCCCCATTCCAGACCCACACTCACCCAGCTCCCCAAAACATTCTGGCTGGCCTTTGTGCCGGACCGCTTGGCGGCCAGCAGGAACGGCGGCTGGTTGATGTATTTGGGTTTCTCCTCCGGTGGAAGCCAAAAGCCGGGTCCAGATGTGGCCTAGGGGTGAGGAATGAAGGCTGGGAGGTGGAGAGGCCCTGGCACTGGTCAGCCTGGGGCAGGGGCAGGGGAGGACTCCTGGCAGCTGACTGCGCCTGCCCAGCCGCCCTGGGCCTTGACCCAAGGACGGTGGGGGGTGCCCAGCTGCCTCCCAGCAAAGGGGCCATGCAGTGCCCTCACAGCCCATGTCCCCTGCCCCACTTCATCTGCCACCCAGAAGCCTGACACCTTGTTTCAGGTTCCCAAGGGCCTTCACGGCCTGGTAGGGTCCAGAGAGATGTTCCAGATCCCAATCTGGGGCATGGAAGCCACACAGGCCTTGCACCCAGAGGAGCTGGGTTTCAACCCCAGCCCCTCTCCCCCTTTCTGGGCAAATCCCTCCCAGATCTGGACTTTGGCTTCCTTTTGTGAAATGCAGATGAGAATCCCTTGGGGTGGGGGAAAGGGGAGCAGAAGAGCGCCTAGCAGGCACTCAGGAACCGCTAGTGCTGTTTTCTTTTTCTGGACTCTGCTCCTGCCCGTGCGCTCAGGGGCAGGCCCTGCTCGGAGGCCTGATTGAAGCCCAGGGCCTGCTGCGACCACTGGCTGTGCACCCAAGCCCCCTCTCCTGCCTGCCCTGACACCAAGGCACAGCCCACTGCTCCCTTGGATGGTCCCTCCTCTGCCCGGCTCCAGTATCCCCTCGCCCTTTCCCCAGTGCCCTGAGGGCCAGGGTGGAGACAGACACTGGCCGGGCCCTCCCTGGGGGAGGCTCTAAGTACCCAGCCTCATCTAACTCTCACGCCACCCCACTGTCCTCACAGTACACGGCGTACGCCGAGGCCCAGGGAGTGACAGGATCTCACCCCAGTGACTGGTATGCTCAAGGCCAGGACTGGAAACCAGGCTGGTCTGATCCCCCTCAAGACAGCCACCCCACCCACCCCAGTCCCCACGGGCCAGAGCGGAAGGATGGCCTTGGGGGCACACTGACCAGTGTTCGGGGGCACTGGCTAGGGGTGGCCCAGTAAATCCTCTCCGGAGGGGTTTTCGGGTTGCGGGGAGCTTTGGAAAAAACCCCATGCTTCTCATTGTAACATGAGTTAAGCTCGTCTACGAAGCTCTTGAAATTCATCAGCTCCCTGGGCTTCTTTCTCTGGGAATTGGAGAGAAAGAGATGTTATGCCAGCAGAATCATGAGCCCCCTCTCTCAACCCTCACCCACAACCAGCGAGAGGAAAGTGCCACCTGCAACGAGGTGTCACTCCCCACCCTGCTGTGCATGCGTCCCAGGTCCCAGGTGGGCCGTACGGGGTGAGGCCAGCCTCCAGGCCCACCCTGACTGGCCCTGTGGGTTGGGAGCAGACGCCCCACCAGCAGGCTGAGACGGGGTTAGGCTCTTGCACCCACTACGCAACACACCTGGCACCCAGCTCATCCTCGTCCGTTCCCTCTCTCTTTCAGTGACTTGTGACATTTATCGAGCCAGGCACCATTCTCAGCAGGAACGACACTTCACAACGCAGAGTACTAACCACTATACGATCACGGCAAGCTACCGGGACGCCACGACACTTCAAATATTTAAAAAGCAGCAGGCATGACTGGAGGAGCAGAGAGGATTTGGGGGGCAGGGAAGCTACTGTGTGTGACACTGCAGTGGCGGGTGCGTGTCACACGCCGGTCCAAACCCACAAAACGCACACACCCAGAGTGAACCCTAAGGGGTGAACTATGGACTCCTAGTGATCATGGCATTATCTGTGTAGGTTCATCGACTGGAGCAAACGTGCCCATCTGGGGGGACATGAAGAGAGGGCACGCTGTGTGTCGTGGGGAGGTCAGGGGTGTACGGGAACTCTCTGTATTTTCCACTCGGTTTTGCTGTGAGGCTGAAACTGCTCTTTGATAAAGCCTATGAAAACAGACAGACAGGCCAGGCGCGGTGGCTCACGCTGGTAATCCTAGCACTCTGGGAGGCCAAGGCGGGTGGATTACTCGAGGTCATGAGTTCGAAACCAGCCTGAGCAAGAGCGAGACCCGTCTCCACCATAAATAGAAAGAAATTAATTGGCCAACTAATATATATAGAAAAAATTAGCCGGGCATGGTGGCGAATGCCTATAGTCCCAGCTACTCGGGAGGCTGAGGCAGCAGAATTGCTTGAGCCTAGGAGTTTGAGGTTGCTGTGAGCTAGGCTGACGCCATGGCACTCACTCTAGCCTGGGCAACAGAGTGAGATTCTGTCTCCAAAAAAAAAAAAAAAACAAAAAAACCAGACAGACAGAATCAGCGTGGCCGGGCTGTGTCTGCAGCGCGGTGGAGGGTCTGAGGCCCCTGCTGTGCCGGATGGGACAGACGGAGATCTGGGAGGTCCTGGGGAGCAGCCGGGGGTCGGAGGGAAGGGCTCAGCTCAGCGGCTCATCTGTCAACTGGTCCCAAAGTCCTTCCACATTAACCAACCAGCAGCCCTCCTATCCCTCCTGAGGCCTTCGCCACAGCACTCACCACCTGCTAACATCGTCCTAGAATTTTTTTACTCATTGGTGATTGTGTTTCTTTTTCCATTAGAATGTAAGTTCCACAGGGCTGATTTCCCTGCACCTAGACTCCTGCCTGGCCTAATTGCATGCACTGAGTGAATGCACAGTGGAGACAAAATAAACAGGTAATTAGACAAATACTCAATTCCAGTTGCTATCATCATGAAGAGACAAAGCATGGCGTGCTATGAAAGCACATAACACAAACCTGAGGTGGGCAGGAAAGGAGGTGTCAAACTAAAATTCCACCTCGGTTTCCCCTCCTGGCCCTCATTAGCAGAGCATTGGCATTAAACCAGCCAGCTGAGGTGGGCCTACGATGCCTGTGAAATGTTTCCCAAATGGCAGGACACCCGGCCCTGTGCCACTGTGTCCCTGCAGGCCCCGCAGCCAGCCCTCGGCCCAGCCCTGGCACTGAGGGCCACCCCCACACTGTGCGGTTCCTGCCCCTGCAGAGCAGGGGACTGACTGTGAAGCCAGACAGACATCCTGGGGGTCAAACCCCAGCTCTGGCCCCTACCCACTAGGTGACAGGCCTCAGTTTCCTCACAGGGAGCCCCACCCTGCCCTGGCTGTGAGTGGGATGTGGGAAGGGCCCTGTGCGGCACGTGGCACACGGGGTGGTGTCCTGGTGTTAACTAGTGAGGCCTGTCACTGTCACCCTGCTGGGGAACGGACCCCACGCCTCCCAGGCACGCACCTGCGTAGAGTAATGTCCGTAAGGCACGGCCTTGCTGCGGTCACCGGAGAAAATGTCATACGGGCCGCGGGTGCCGACCGATTGCTCCAGGTATGTCTCGATGCCACTCTTTAAGAAGTAGGTGCCAGGTCCCAGACCACTCCCCTAGAACACAGCAGAGGCCATGAGGCCTGCAGGAGAGTCGCAGAGGTGGGCCCAGCGCCCTTCGGGTCTTGGTTTCCCCGTCTGCCCCGGGAGGCTCCCTCCAGCACGGGAAGGCAGGCCCAGCCTGGCCGGGTCCGGGGTTACCTGATGAGCCAAGGGCGGCGGCTTGTTGGTCATCCTGCACATGAGGCCCTCGGAGTGGGACCGGTTCCAGGCATTCTCCTCCAGCTTCGAGTAGGGGTTGCCCTTCTCCCCGTAATTCCCGGGGCCTGGGTTGTAGTTCTGTGGGAGCATGAGGACCGTCAGGCCCACTCCTCATGCAGAGGCACCTGGGGGAAAGACACCTGGGACCGCCATCCCTGAGAGGGGGACGGGATTTGCAGGGTGCCCATGTGTCACCCACCCCCAGCACACAGCACTGCAGCTCACACCGTCACCCTCAAGTTCAGCCTCCTCACCACGGCCCCACTGGCCTGTCCAGGTTGTGACTTGCCACTTCCTCGCCACACCCCCACTTTTTGGCCAGCCTGGGCTCCTTGCTGCTCCCCAAGCGCGTGCCACTCTGCCCAACCTCCTGGCCCTCACTTGTGCGTGCCGTAACCCCCACCCGAATGCCCCTCCTCCCCTTTGCCTTGGAAAATCCTACGAATCCCGCAAAGCCGGCTCAGATGTCCTCTCTCCTGGGAATGAAGCCTCCCTTCCCCATCACCTCAGACAGGTGCAGGCTTCGGCGACCTCAACAGTTCCATCCTTTCTGCCCTGCATTGTGGCCCTACGTGACATGAATGGCTTTCTCATTGTGCCGTGAGCAGTGCTGTGACAGGAAAGACCTGTAGTCCTCAGTTCAGATCCTGCCTCTGCTGCTTCCTACCTGAGTGGCTTTGGGCCTTCTGAGCTTCGTGGTCCATATTAGCAACATGGGATAGTAATACTTCCCACCAGGGTAATGACAATGAAGTCAAATACTGTCTGTAAAGTCCCCTGCATGGTGCCCGCACACAGTGGGCACCAACACATGATAAGTCAGGCAGGAGTGGCTGACTGTCTTGGAGAGTAGGAGAGGTTAAAACTGCGGCTGCAATGACCATCTGGGACTGGACTGCCGGGGCAGGAGTGTGGTCTCTGCAGGTGCAGCGAGGAAAGCCACTCACAGTGTAGGCGGGTGGGTGGATCGAGATCCTCGGGTAGACACCTGGCAGGACGATTGCCGCTGCTCTGCACCTTGCAGCCACACGGGGTCGCTGCCACTCCACAGATGGCTCAGCTGTGCCCACCTCTGGGCCCTGAAACCTGACCCTGGGGAAGCAGGACGCTAACGGGCCAAGGACCTCTGCTGGGGGGAGTCAGGCCACTGCGGGCATCAGATTTGTTCACCCCCGAGGAATGCCACCACACACCACCTCCTTCCAGGGTTCCCAGGTGTGTTCTGGAGAAAACCGCCAAGGGTAGCTGGGCCCATGCATCGTGTTAGGACCCCCACTAGCCTCAACACCTTGGTCCTGGAGGTGACCTGATGAGAGCAAGTCAGCACCATCCGAAATTATCAGATGGGGAAACTGAGTTTTGGAGAGGCAAACGTGTGGCAGAGGTCCCACCTCCGGAAAGGGGCAGCACCAGGGTTCCAACTCCAAAATCTAAGATCTTTCTGAGTGTGTGCCAGGCACTGTGGAAGGCACTGGGGGGCGGGTGGGCAGTGGGCAGCTCAGGTCCTGGGAAGCTTGAGAAATGAAGGTCAAGACAAGGGGTGAGGCCAGGTGCCAGTGGCTCACGCCTATAATCCTAGCACTTTCGGAGACGGAGGCAGGCGGATTGCTCAAGGTCAGGAGTTCGAAACCAGCCTGAGCAAGAGTGAGACCCCGTCTCTACTATAAATAGAAAGAAATTAATTGGCCAACTAATACAAAGAGAAAAAATTAGCCGGGCATGGTGGCGCATGCCTGTAGTGCCAGCTACTCAGGAGGCTGAGGCAGGAGGATTGCTTGAGTCCAGGAGTTTGAGGTTGCTGTGAGCTAGGCTGACGCCACGGCACTCACTCTAGCCTGGGCAACGAAGCGAGACTCTGTCTCAAAAAAAAAAAGACAAGGGGTGAGAGTGGCCCTGCTCCGGGAGCCCACAAACCACGTCCGGCCCGATGCCAGGCATTTGCATAATCTCATTTCTTTCTTAAAACCTGTTTAGTGCCACACTTGGGCTGATGAGAAAGCCTATGACTTTAACTAGAATGTTATGTTGTCAGAGCTTTTGGGACACAAGAAGGAATGATTAATTTGGCAGGGGAGTAGTGTGGGAGTGGAGGAATCATCACTTGTAAGATTTTTTTTTAAGCTGGGCCTTGAAGAATGAGAAGGATCCCCAAAGATGGGTGTGGGGGGCGGTGGGAAGGTTGCCCAGGCAGAAGGAGCACAGGCAGGAGGAAGAGGGACTAGTCAGACTTGTCCCACCAACGGCCCTGCCATCGGCTGGGCTGAGCTCTGACATTTGACCCTGTCCTCCACAGAGAGGCAAGGAACAAAGCCCAAGAGCTAACGGAGCCAAGCCTGTGGGTGAAGTGCTGGGGTACACTGGACACCTCAGATTCAAATCCTGCTTCTGCCACCCCGTGCCTCTGTGACCCTGGGCACTGGGTTGATTAGCCTTTCTGTATTCCGGTTTTCTCATCTGTGGAGTGGACATAATGACAGTGCCTACTTCACAGGGCTGTAGTGAAGATTAATTAGTGAGTGGTAAGTGCTATGCTAAGTGTCTGCTATTATTACTTTAGATTTGCAGGTAATGACTCATATTTAGATGCCTCCAGGCCTCCTCTCTCCCTAAGCTAGCTACAGTTAGAGCTTCTGCACCCGGAGACGCTTCTGCTTATCCCTGGAACATGGCAAATAGTAATTCCTAGCCTTTGTAGAGGGTTGCACAGTGGTGAGGTGTGGGAGCTCCAGCTTTGCAGCCTGGCACAAGTTGCATATTCTCTGTGCCTCCAGGGCATATCTGGAGTGGTTGCAAATAGTTAGAATGTTTTGGAGCACCTGGCACTTAGTAGGCATGCGTGCACTTATGCAGTACACAAATGCTCACTGTGTTCCTACTATGTGCCAGGCACTGCTAGGGCCTCAGAATGCCTCAGTGAATGAACCAGGCAGACGTGGTCCACCCTCAGGGGCCACTGTCCAGTGGGGGAGAAACACTAGACACATGATCACATTAGGGACTCCTAGGAAGGGAGCTGTCCCCTAGTGGGGCTCAGGAAGGCTTCTGGAAGCTGGGAGCTACAGGATGAGTAGCCGTGCCTCAGGCAAACTGGCTGCTAGGGGAGGAAGGGCATTCCCAGCAGAGGGAACAGCAGGAGCAAAGCCCCAGCTGAGAAAGCATGGCACATCTGAGGAGCCGGGATAAGGACAACGGTGTCCAGTGCAGAGAGTTCAAGGCCAAGGCACAGGAGGAGCACCCAACAAACACAGCACTGGCTCCTCTGGTAGGGGGTGACTGCTACCTTCTTCCTCATGATCTCTGAGCATGAGCCTCACTCAGTGTGCTCCCCACAGGGCATGATCACCCCACAATGCTGTCTCCCCCACCTCTCACCACCATCCCCTTCTACCAGGATGCCCCACCCCTGGCCCTCATGAGCAGGGTGTGCCCCTAAAAATGTAAATCAGGTCCTGCCCCTGTCAAACCCTCCACTGTCCTCTGACAACACCTGGAATAGCACTCGAAGGCCCCGCTTTGGCTGCACAGCCCTCTCAACCCAGCCATTCACTCCTCTGCCCTCTCACCTCATCTTGCCCTCACCTACCCCATCCCACCCCCCACCCCCCGGCCACCTCGGCCTCCTGCCTGGAATGCTCTACCACAGATATGAGTCTCCCTTGCTCAGGACCTGCAGGTTTGCTCAAATGTCACCTCCTCCTAGAGGCCTTCCCTGACTACTCTCTATATTGCACCCCATCACCATCTATCCCTTCCCTGCATCATCTGTCCTCACAGCCCTGACTATACATGTATTTCCTTCTTTCTACTGTTGTAGAAAGCCACTAGGATGTCCACTTCATGTGGACAGGGACCTTGTCTTCAATACTGCTGAATCCTCAAGGCCTAGGACAGTGCACGGCACTTAATAGGTGCACTGCTCCCAGGCTGGCTGGCTGGCTGGATATACAGATGGATGAATGTGTTGAGGACCTAATGTGTGCTGGGCTCTTTGCTGAGGACCCAGAGATGAACCAGACCCATCCCTGCCAGCACAGATGACAGCCAGCGGGCCCAAGGCTGTGGCACAGGAAAGCTGAGGGGCTGTGGGGACCCGGGGAGAGCCTGGCCGAGCCGGGGGAGGAGACAGGTCCAAGGAAGGGTGTTCGCAGCACTACCCAGGCTGATGCTCTGCAGCCAGGGGGGAGGCGGAAGGGACCCTGCTCCACGTGTGAGAACACCTACCCCGATGAGTCCTCGGAAGCGAACCTCTCCAGAGCTGAGTAGCCCCCGGGTGCTACATGGTTTCTCATTCAGCAATTCTAAGAAGTCTTTGAAGTTGTAGTAGCCAGGCCCCAGCTTTTGCTCCTGCCCCAAGAGAAGAGGGTAGCAGGTGAAAACTTTGTACTTGGGAATGTCCACGCAGGGAGAAGCCCAGGGGACGGATGGTGTTCCTTAAAGGACGAGCCCCGCCTGGCCTCGCGAGCACACTGAAGGCCACACTGGAGCTACGGCAACGGACAGGAAGACCTGGCCCCAGAGGCCTCACCTGCTGCTCCTTCTCTTTCATGATGGCCTGGTACTGGAAGTGGGGCAGCCGGGTCAGCCGGGTGGCTTCCTGGGCCTTGGCCCAGCCTGTGCCCACCTCCTTCTTTAGCTTCTTCTTGCTGAAGCAGGTCTCCCGGGAGTTGTAGGTTCCAGGTCCTATGTGGGACTGAGGCAGAGCACGATCAGAGCTGTGCCGGCTGCGCACACTGGTCCGCCCTCAGAGCAGGTCGTCACGAGGCCGCCAGCCTGACCTGGGGGCGAGAGCAATCCTCCTCTGTGGGCCCCACTCCCAGCACCACGCCTGGCACTGGAGGGTTTGGCGCTCAAGGTACAACTGCGACATTCTCCATCACTGGCCCCCTCACACTTTGGGAAGTGCAACAGCTCGTTCCAGAACCCACAGCTAGGCAGTGCAAGAGCTAGAAATGGCACAGTCCTGCACTTGTCACACACATCAGAAACGCCAACCGGCCAAGCTCTGTGCCAGGGGCTGCAGGCGTGGGGAGGAAGAAGATAGGCCCCTTGCCCAGCTCAGCTCATCCACCAGGGTGGGTGACTCCAAGGGGCAGTGGCCAGACCCCACACGAGGAGTCAGGGAAGCTGTGCAAACTCACCAGTTCCACAGAGTAACGATTAAAGTATGGGGCCTCCGTGAAGGTGCTGTACTTCTTCCGGTTGGGATAAACAGCAGAGACGTCAAATCTGGGGAGGCATGGAGACCCAGTAAGAGCCCAGTGCCTGGCACCTGGCTCTGGCTTGGGCAGCTCTGGGGCATGAGGGAGTTGGCTTCCTAGGGAGATGACCTTGGAGCTGGCCCTTGGCAGATAAGCAGCAGGGAAGCAGAAGTCCCCATGCCCACTCACCCCACCCCACCCACCTCCACCTCCCAGATGCATTTTTTTCATAGCCCTTATCACTACACAACATTTTATACATATACATATTTTATTATCCACCCCCTCTGCACTCCCCCACAAGAGTGCAAACTCCATGAGTAGTGTTTTGCTGCTTTGTTCACTGCTGCAGCCCCAGATCCTAGAACGCCTGGCACATAGTAGCTGATATATAGATACATGGGTATATGTAGATACAGGTATCTACCTATCTATCCAGAGAGGAAGAAAGGCACCAGGGTTGAAATCCCACCCATTACTTTTTAGCTGAGTGACCTACTATGGGCCAGGTCATGTGGCCTCTCCAAACCTGGCACATAGTAGGTGCTCTTGGAATGATTTTAAGGAACTTAGTAAGGATGGTAAAAGAGCTCTGGGCAGGTAAGGGCAGGAGGTGTGAGCGGAGAAAAGCCCAGCCCCCTCCCCAAGTTCCCGCCTCCGGCTCCCCCCCAACCTTCCCCCCCCAGCCCCCACCCCCAACCCCGCGCAGGTGGGCGCTCTCTCCCCCCTAGGCAGGCTGAGGGTGTCTGGGGGCGCAGACGGGCCCCACCTGTGGCTCTGCACCCCAAAGGGTGCCCCGCTGAACCACTTGTTGGGCATGGCGCCGGCCCGGCCGGCAGTGAGGTCCCGAGGTCCCGAGGTCCCCAGGAGACTGGTCGCCCCAGGGGCGCCCCCGCTGCCACGGCAACCCAGGCCTTGTGATTCGCCGGCCAGACCGGCCACGCCTCAGCCCCGCAGCCCCGCAGGCGCCCCCTAGCTTTTTCGCTCACCCGTGCACATTTTCAGAGCTTCCTCGCCTGAGAGCCTTCCCTGGCCTCTGCGGATTTCATGGCCCCTCTTGGCGTTTAATATGGATGCCATTGGGTCGGGTTTTAGAGTCAGTTATGGAGGAATTTTTTCTGATTTCTCTCTTTATCCTAGCGCCCTGCACGGGGTCTGGGAGAGCTGATGGGAAACTGAGGCCCACAGAGAGGGCACGACTTGGGCAAAGGGCATCCCAGCTCCTTCTCCACTTTGGGGATGGAAGGAGGGGGCTTGGGAAGGATGGCCGGGGCGTGGGGGGGAGGGGGCAAGGCCAAAGAGAGGAGCAAGGAGCTGCAGGGACAGTCAGGACTCAGCGGGTCCCCAGACTCCCTGAGCCCACTCTGGACGGGCACTGTGCAGAGTGCCCGGGACCCAGATGTGGTCTCTGACAGTAGTGAGGGAAACAGTGACCACACAGTGTGGTCGGGCGTGTGAGAGAGGGAGGCCTCTGACCCAGGCTGAGGGTGGGTAGGTCGGGGAAGCCTTCCTGGAGCAGAATTCCAAAGTCAGCATTGAAACCTGTGTAGGACTTGCCAGGGCAAGAAAGGAATTGAGGGTTCGTGCCCCCAAAAGGGCATGCCCTCTCTTCCCTCCTCCCCTACCCCCACCAGTGCCCCAGATCATGCAATAAGACTGAGATTGTCTGTCTTCCCTGATCACCTTTGATCCTCCCAAGGGCCTTAGGCAAAGGCAGGGCAGAAATCTACACCCCATTCCATGGTGACAAGATTGAAGCCAGAGAGAAGTAAGATTTGCCCCAGGGTCCTGCATTCAGGCTGTGCCAAAGCTGGAGACACAGAAGGTCTCCTTCCAGGCCCCATTCAATGCTCTTCTGACACCCCAAGCTGGTATTTAAATAAAAAGTGTGCCCTCCCCCCCAGCACAGCCAAGACCTGCACTCTTGGGCACTAGGCCATGCCCATGGCTGGCAGAGTGTCCACACTGTATCCCTGAACTAAGGGTCAGAGGCAGGAATACACATAGACCAGACAGGTTGGGTCATCTAAGGACAGATTCTGCTCTTTCCCAGCCATGGGACCTTAAGCAAGTCACTTCCTTCTTTGAATCTCAGCAGTCTTACCTGTAAAATGAAACTAATAATCTCTGCCTCCCCAGACTGCTGTGAGGATTAAATGACCTCATTTAGGTAACACTCCTGGCACACAGCAGGAGCTCAATAAAAGGTCATTCTCAGCCCTTGAGAAGGGAACTTACGAGGCCCAAGGACAGAGACGGCCTCTCACTCACTCTTGGGGCAGTAGCTGGCACACAGTAAATGCTCAGGAAATATTTGCCGAATGACAAGTGGATGAATACATGAATCTAGTCCAACTTACCAGTGACACACAAATCCTCAAAGAAACGTCCTAATCCTGGTTCTGCCACTTCCTAGCTGGTGGCCTTGGGCAAGTTACCCTGGCCAAGCTTCAATTTCCCCATCTGTGACATGGATGTAGGACTGTAGCTTCCTGGAGGAGCTGTTTTGAGGTGTCAGCGAGGGGCAGATGTGTACACTATTGAGTCCTGTGCACAGGGGGGCCCTCGGCCAGCCCAGGTATTCTCAGGGTGGCCAGACCTGCCTGCAGCAGCATTCTTCTCCTCTGGCCTGAGCCACTTGGCTCCAGGACTCTTGGAGGAGTGACCTGAGGAACTAAGCCAAGGCACTGGGCCGGGAGTCCTGGCTGCCAGGCAGGCTCATAGCAACTCACTCGTTCCCTTGTATGTGCCACTGTAGCCCCTTCCACTCCCATGGTACACAAGAGGAAACTAAGGCTCAGACAGGGAAAATTGCTTGCCCTAGTCACATCTAGTGCGGCATGGGTTGTACAGCAGATATGGGACTTGTAATGACATGTCAAGAGCTCCCCGACTGTGAGAGTGTCTAACCCATTCAGCCTCTGGAGCCATCTGTATGTCAGTGGAGTCATCAAGCTTCTCAGCAGGGAGTCAGGCCTCTGTGACGGCTGCTGCCTTTAGTCCTCACCTCCTGCCATCTCTGCCCTATGTCCTGTGAGCTCCAGCCACATGGGACTGCTCTGTCCCTTGGACACACCCTGCATTGGTGAACCTCTGGCCTTTCATACCTGTCCTGCTGCTGACATTTCCCCCACACCTACTTTCCCCACCCAACTCCTACTCATCTCGTCAGAGTCAGAGCAAAAGCCAAACCCACACGATAGGATGGCTATTATCACAAAAGAAAGAAAGAAAGAGAAGAACACATATTGGTGAGGATGTGGAAAAATGAGAACCTTCGGGCATTGCTGGTAGGAAAGTCAAATGGTCCAGGTGCTATGGAAAACAGTATGGCAGTTTCTCAAAGAATGTTGTTTTAATTTACCTTTTTATTGCTAAAGTCAAATATTTCCCCAAATTTGTTAATTGGCTATATTTCTTCTTTTGAAAGTGCTGGTCTATTTTTCAAGAGGAAGCAACGGAGGTGGCAGGAGCCCAGGAGGAGGTGGACAAGGAGTGAGAGGGACTCCCAAATGCAGACCTGCTCTGAGGCCCAGGCATGAGAGGACCAGCAGCCGCCACAGCAGGGAGCTCAGCTGTGGGGGAGGAGGCGGGAACACTCCAGTTTGGGAGGAACTCTGGCCGGTGCACGAACCAGAACCGGGAGCACGAAGCAGAGCGCAGGCTGGGAACCCAGGGGGAGGAGTGAACTGGCATTTACCCAGAGCTGCCACCTGTCAGGTTTCCCTGTGATACCTTCCTGCCCCTGGGGGAAGGACTGGCATCCTGATGTCGCAGGTGACAGATCATACATTGCTGGGAGTGGAGAAGTGGGATAAGGGCCAGCGCATGGAGCCCATAGTCTTTCCACAGAGGGAGGTGGCGGGCTCCATTCAGAGGAGGAACCCTGAAGAACTGCAGCAAGGACAGGGCAGCAGCGAGGACGGGACAGGGCAGCAGCGAGGATGGGACAGCGGCAGGAGCAAGGGTGGCTTGTGCAGCTGGGAGGGTCAGTGCTAACTCAGACAGCTCTGGCAGAGAGGGCGGAGCACCGCCATGGAGAAATGGCTGGGGCTTCAGCAACCTGGGGTTCCAGGCCTACTTGGGCACGCCCCTGTCTGTGACCTGGGCAAGTCCTTTTCCTCCTCTGAGCCTCAGTTTCCTCGTCAGCTGAGCAGAGAGTAAAAACACGTCTTTTGCCTTGCACCGGGATTTGCGCGCCCTGAATTTGGCAATGCACCTGTTTTTCTGGCACACCTGGTTGTGCAGTGTCAGCGTCTAAAAGCCGCTGAGCAGCGAAAGCGGAAACACCCACAGGGCGCTCCCCGTCCCACCCACCAGCCGGAGCCCGACAGACCGGGAGGCGGCCGCGCCCTGGGCCTTCGCGGCTGGCCCTCTCCTCCCGCGCAGGGCTCACTCTGGGGGGCGCCCCCAACCACTCCCCTCTGTAGCCTCCGGGACAAGGGCGAGGCCAGGCGAGCAGCGGGGCAGCCATGGCGGAGCTGGAGGCCGCGGCCGACGACCTGGACGCCCTCATCGACGACCTAGACTACCTCCCAGGCCACTTCCACCTGGAGATGCAGCTGAACTTCGAGCCGCGCTCGCCCGTCCCGCTGCGCGCCCGGGACCTGAAGCTGCAGCGGGAGGGCCTTCGGCAGGAGCTCGAGCTGGCGGCTGCCCCGCAGCGCCCCGCCGTGCGTCACCTCCTGGGCGCCTTCGCCTTCTACCTGGAGGAGCTGGACGAAGCCCGCGAGCGCTTCCTGGAGGTGGCCCACGAGGACCCCGGCAACCTCAACGCCTGGGCCAATCTGGCGCACGTCTACGGGCGGCTGGGCCAGGAGGAAGAGGAGGAGGCGTGCGCCGCGCGGCTGGCGGACCTCATGGGTCTGGCGGCGGAGCCCGAGGCCGCCGCGGACCCCCAGCTCCGCGCCGCGCGCTGCCTGGCCGAGCAGGGCTACGCGCACGGCTTCGACGTGGGCTGCGCCAGCCCGGAGGAGCGCGCGCGGGTGCTGGCGGCTGGCATCGCGCTCTACGACAAGGCGCTGGGCTACGGGCAGCAGGTGGGTGCCCCCGCCTCTCTACCACCCGCTGGGAGGGCTGTGATCGTGGTCCTTTCTGTCTGCAGAGACCCCCGCACCCCCAACTCTCCCTCAGTCCTGGTCCTCAGAAGTACCTTCCCTATGTGCATGCCCCTCGCGTCCCAGACCCACCTGTAGCTTTTCTCTCTGAGCTACGGGCTGGACGCGCTTCCTAGCCGACTGCCTGCCTATTTCTCTCTTTTGACAACACCGAAAACCCACGCTGGTGAATTCGCCTCTCTTACCTTGCTCCTGCCAGCAAGTACCTGTGCCTGTGCCTGTGCACACCTGCCTAAGTAAAAGGCACAATCAGGCATCCCACCAGAAGCTTGGGCAGCATTTCTACCTCCTCTCTTCCCCTCCCCCTCGTCCCCATCCATTCGGATCCCAAATCCTGTCCACTCCACTTCCTCCTCTCTCTCAGGTCCATCCATTCCTCTCCAGCCTTCCTCTGCCAGCCCAGCCTCCATAATTCCTACCTGCACCAGTGTGACTGCTGTCATCCTCCCTGGGTCCCTATCCCCCAGCTTGACCCAGCGGCCTCACCCTCCAATCTGCTGCCAGTGCTGTGCTGCTCCCTCTTGCTGGCTGCCCCAGCTGCTAACAAGCCCCCAGTGATTCCCCTGCCTGACAGATAAATCCTAGGCTCTTTGGTGGGCATACCTCTCTGCCCTTCCTCTGCCTGTTTCCCTCCCAAGCCGGCCTTTTGCCACAGTCCACTTCCCCTATTCCCCAGCAGGCCAGGTCTCCTTCAGCTTACCTGTTCCTTTCTCAGCCTCTGCCTGGAGTGTCCTTCTGCTCCGCCTTTGCCTGGAAGGCTCCCTTCAGTC